AGCCACAGTTTATTCACCCAAACGTATCCTTGCCCCTACTTAGTTATTTTACTCTGTCTAACACCAGGCGATTTTACACGCATAGGGAAAGTTAGTGTTGGAGCTACGTTTCTCGTTACCGTAATCTCTCTGTTAAGCCCCCTTCCGTCAAAAAAGCTCCCTCTCTAATAGGCCCCTCCCCTTTTTAAATAAAGAAATTTATTAAGCCGTCTCTCTATTAAACCCCCTCTCCTCGACGCCCACTCTCTATTAATCCCTCCTCTCTCGTTGATTATGCCCCCTTGCTATTAAGCAACCCTACCCCCCGTATTCATACTTTTGTACATGATTAGACATATACACAGGTCTTTTGATTAGATTTATTGATTTTCTTCACAAACATTATAATATGTTTGGCTTACGTGTGAAACATGCTTGCAAACATAATCTTCTCATTGGTCTTCAGTTTAATGCGACCAAATTTCAGTGAAACTGGATAGTTGTTGGGATCTTTAAGAAAATCCAAGGCATCTGTACCATTAGGTAGTTGCTTATTGCTAAGTTCTTCACCATTAACTGCCAATAGACTAAAACCAACTGTTAAAAAATACAAGAATGGACTATACTTTAGGAACAAAGCAAGGTGCGATAAATCAAGACATTTTATATAGCTATACCTCACTGATACTCCAATGATTTATATTGCTGCTAACCTGAGCTATACAGCAGTACAAACTACAAACTGAGGGTGTTTAAGATAAAGGTACACTAAATATTCAGTAACCTGAAATATACGAGTTAGAACAAGAAACAGGACAATTTTATATACACAAACACATACAGGTGACCCCAACATTCTTTATCACATCAGTCCAGTCATGTTTACTGTTTAGAGACCTGGTGTATAAGAGGTCAAATTGAAGCACGAATTAGCGACTCAATAGAACTTAAGCCGCGATCAAACGAGGATGATAGTTGATGAGAGTCGGGTTGATGAGAGTCGAAGTTGCGGTATTATTACCTATCAATCCAAAATAAGACCAATTCTCAAGTATGCATCACCTGTCTGGGCGGGACTCCCTAATTACCTGCGAGATGAAATAGAGCGGGAGCTTACGAATCCTTGGTCTGGAAAAAGATTACCTGCCACCGTTGAACAAAGAAGGGAAGAGGCAACTAGTCGAGAAGTGGACAGATTTATGAACGATCCAAACCATCACTATCACAGTATTTTGCCAAAATTAATTAACAATCAGTACAATTTATTAAGGAACATTGACCGGAATCGCAATATATCATTCTTCTCAGGAACTGAAAGGCATAAACTCTCTTTTTCAGGAAGAGCTTGTAAATATTTATAAATAGTTTTAACTTCTTGGTTAGTTTTCTAAATTATCTTGCAAAAATTTGTAATATAAAGACATATTCACAGCATATACTTTCTTAACTAGTAATTGTAAAGTTCATTGTACTTTTAATTAATATCTTAAGATGGATGAATAAAGCTATTACTAACCATTATTATTAGAGTTGGCAGTCACGCATTGTTTATACGTGGAGCATTTAAAGTTCTAGATTTTTAACAAAATAAAGGTTTGGTGAGTGTTCCAACTAAGCCATTAGGTATGTAAGCCTACAGTTACTTGCTGTGTTGCCAAAAATCATTAGAAGCTAGTTATCTAGCGGTACACTTGGTATTTTGTTCTCGTTCAGAGGCTAAATAAATTCTTGTACCCCTCAACCCTTGTCATGCTCAACAGAGACCGTGTGTAAGACAGGCTCTGGCTATGAGAATGTGGCATAGCCTAGCTCCATTTGAAGATTGGCTACCTCCACAATAATAAAATCTACAGGTATGATGTTAACGTTACCTAGTTAGTATTAGTAATTTTAATTACTGTTAAAACAGTCAGTTAATATTCAGGGCGCGAAATAACGGTCGGTCAACGAACATTGTCTGGCCAGAATATGGAGTTGGCTGGTCAAATTTTTCCCTTGCCAGTAATTTTGACCGGTCACTTTCAGTAAAAGAACAAACTAATCTTTAGTTGACTTTATTTTATGCCAGAACTGCATGACGCTATTGTGCTTAAGTTGGAACTTCGCGACTTCACTAACTACAGTAAGAAAGAACAAAAAAAAAACATATTTTGATTATGTTTTGTTCGTGAACACGAAGCTGTTTCAATTTATTGACGGTTTAATTAAAGAGCGTCACATAAGTCAGAAACCTTCAGAAAACCAGAGAGCTCTGAGGACAAAATGATGAGAAGCAGCGTTAGTTAATACATAATAAATAAAGAGAAAAACTGTATAAAATTAAACACTATAAGTCTAAAATAAAGTTCAAAATGGTGGCCTTTTGTGTTGACATGATTGCCAAGCATTCCATTGACCTCGCACCACCGCTTCAGTTCACTATTTTATTGTAAAATGTAAATCGCAAATGACTATAACATAAGTGCAGTGCAAGCCATTTTATGTGAAGGAATTTTTCATTACTGATTACAGTAAGGCTTTTTGTAATGCTACTGGAAAAAATAGTCACATTTTTAAGGGAAACTGAATAATTTGACCAGTCTGAAATTCGATATGTCCGAGCTAAAATTGATTTGACCGGTCACCTTGACCGGCGACCCTCCAGTCGTTATTTCGTGCCCTGATCAGGGCCGTGCCAACCGGTTTCTGGTTGGGGGGCATATTCCACAATATGGGCCCCCTTCCATTCCAGAGCCCCCTCAAAAAATTTTTCCAGAGAGCAAAATTTTTTTCCCAAAATTTGGCGACAGGGGGGGGGGGTTCGACGTTATATTTCCGAAAACAAAAGTTCCCAAAATCTTTCGCAACACAATATTTCCCAGAAAGTTCCATAATTCAGCACACAAATCCTTCATTTTTTACAAATTTTGCAATTCCAGCATGCCAAGGCCCCCTCCCCGCAAGTTGGCCCCCCTTTTTTACTTTTTTTTGGGGTGTTACACCCCCCACACACACACACACCCCCAGGTGGCACGGCCCTGATATTATAATTTGAATAAGTGACTATATTGTTGTATTATGACATTGCCTGCACAGGCAGGAGAATGTGGTGTCACTGTGTCTGAATGCACTTACTCATAAGGCTGATGGAATTAAGGTATCAGTTTGCTGTCACCCACCTGTGTGTGTTATTATTGGCAGCCGTGTGAAAATTTCATCATTTCAATATTTTTTCATTATTTGTCAAATTTGTATGCCAAGTGTTTCAAAAATGGCTTTCTGTTGAAATCTTTGGCAAATACTGACTTTGTTTATACAGTAAGCAAAGTCACAGTGAAACAGAATCATACATACTGTTGATAGCTTGGAAGCTAGCTTCGGTCGAAATTCAAATTCTTTGCTTAAAATTTGACAAATTCAAATCATGAAAAATAATGAATAATGAAAAAAATCCACATCAACTTTTGAAATTTTAGGTACTGACTGTAAACTGATTCCTTAATTTCATCGGCCTAAGTGGTAAATTTTTTAAACCTGGGGTGCAATTTTCATACTTTCCAGTTAGGTGCATGACTGGACAAATTAATCACACATGTGAAATCTTACTTTGCAGTTTGCAATTGCACCATACATACAGATGGGTATCATTAGTTTTGTGAAGCCTGACTGTGTGCATGGCTGACTGACCGGTTGGCTGGCTGATTGTCAAAGTACTAGCTATTAGAGGTGTGCAAATCCGATCGGATTTCGGAACAAAACTATTCATTTCGGATTGGATTGATAAAGTTGTTTCGTAATCGGATCGGAATTCGATATTCGAAATAAAATGAATTAATTATCCACAACAATGCGGTTGTCGCTGCATTAGTCGCTTGATACTTCAATTGGACGTCATGTATTTCTTGACATGTATTTCTTGCTTTTATATTTATTTGGTTAAATATTTCCACTTGAATGAGAAATATATTTTATTAAAGGATTCTTTGGATCGGAATTCTTTATCAAAACGGAGATCGGAACGGATTCGGATTACACAATGTTGGATCAGATTGGATTTTAAACATTAGCTAATTGTCGGATTATAAATGTCCAATCCAATCCATTATGCACACCTCTACTAGCTATCAAAGTACTGGCTGTGGCCAACATCACAAGCAAGGGCCTCCACACCTGTGGTGGCTCCATCCCGCCGTGGGTGTGGAGGCCCTTGAGGTTGTACTGTGGCTAGTTCTTTTTAAGCTCAGTGCAGACAGTGCTCACCTGGCTGACTTCTGACTATTTTCTATTGATGGTTTATTGCTTTTCAATCAATCTCATGACAATAGTGCCCGCCCACATCGTCTGGATCCGTCAATACCAATTATAACATATTCTTTTGTGTTATACCTCCAACATGGCTGTCGTGACGTTATTGATGTATTAAACTTACATGCAAACCATCAATGACAAATATAATTATATAAATTATAAAGAACATCACATACCTTTGATTCCATCTCGTTCACCAAATATAACAGTAAGCTTATCGTCTTCCTTTAAAACAATATCTAACGGATAGCCAAACGTCTTTTCAACATCATTTTTCGAATTATAGCGGTCAGTATGATAAATAAGTCCTCCGGCCTTGTTCAAAATAAACACACTTTGGATCGCCATTTTGATTCTGGGGTTCTCGATTACATTTCATTTGTTTAATACTTCCTGTTCTTTATATATTCCTTGACGTCTTGGGTGAAATATCCTTACTGTTGAAAAAACACTGAAAGTCGGAGACTCGGAGCAAACTGCAAAAAGAATGTGTTTGATAAACAACAACAAAATGAATTGAATTAATGCTTCTAGAGTTTCCGTGTGGAACACAAATAAATCAATATTTAATGATAAATGTAAAATTTATATGTAAAATTCCTCATAGTTCCTTCTTGAGAAAAATTCCCTTTGCTTGGGGATATGTTTGGATAGGAAGGGATAAATTTGAGGATATCAGTAGGTTTAAAATTCGTCAAATATTTCGTCAGCAATCTATTAACGAAAGCGGGAAATTTTAGACGACCGGTTGCTAAACAAAACAAAAATAAATAAAATTTGATATATTTGCAAAGCTTTTATGGATAGTTAAAAAGGTTATCTCTATAATGCATGTTATGGTTTGCTAACAAAATGGACTCCGATGAGGACGAAGAATTCAGTTTTGAGGAAAACGTTGCACAGAGGCCGGACCGTCATGGCGGGAAACTCAACGAAATTTTGTCCGAAGTTGAAACAAAAATTCCAAGTTTAGAGTTTGACGACGATGTAAGTTGTGAACACCTGATGGTAGTTTGTTTGCCGTTTGGTTTTGGTTTATATATAGTGGTTGGTCTATATTGTCCAGTGGTATCATAGCAACAGAACTCAAATTATTATAATTTTAGATATTTTAATGCTGTACAACAGACTGTTTATGGCCTTTAGCCTTTAATATTGTGTACATACAGCCATTTGTAGTCAGTTGAGTTTGCATTTTTGGATATGCATAACGTTGCGTGTTTTTCACGCCCTGAAGCAACATTTTGTTGCTATAAACTGATGAACACAACTTTTAATCCATATTATGTTGCATTGCACATAATGCATGATCATACCACAGAATAGATACAGGACCAGAAGTGTCTCTCAGACGATATTTTGTCCGAAATTTTACGAGTGCTGACGTGAAAATACGCCATCATATGACGCCATCCTGGAGTGCACACGGAAGTTTTTCATAGGAAAACATAGGTACAAAGTGCCGGGTGCACTCCAGGATGGCGTCATAGCACGCAAAAAAATTTCGGACGTTTTCCTTCAGCCAAAACAAATAGGAGTGACACTTCTGGTCCGGTATGTATTCTGTGATCATACAGTACTTTTTATTTGACTCTGTCTAATGCCTGACAATTTTACTCATCAAGGGGAGAGCACTGGCACTAGCTTGATGAGTTAACCAGACTATCTGTCTGTGTGTCTAGCTTATAACCCATTAAGTTTCATTGCACCCTAACATATGCATAGTTGCCAACTCTCACAGATCCACCGTGAGCATCACTGATTTTACTAAAATGTCATGGTAAGCTCACAGCTTGTTAATATCTCACAGATTTCGAAAATAACCCAACTGGTTCTTAAATATATTGGCTTTTGTTGTACATTTTAACTATTAAGAGTAACTTCATTTGCGTCAAATTACATATTAAGCCAAAAATAGATAATCAAAACATAGCTATGTACATGCAATCTCGTACTTGTGGGTAGGGTCGGGCGGTTCAGGGTAAAAACCGAAAACCATCGGAAAAAAACCCGAAAAAAACGATGTTTTTAATGAAAATTTCCTTATGAAAATTTAAAGAAAATTTCATAAAATAGTGGAAACACTGGGTAAAAAATATCGGTAGTCAATTTATCCTGGGCGTTCTGTAACCCCTGTCCGTGATCATATCAGATCATGTCAGCGGCATCTGATAAATTACTAAAATAACATTGCCCGAAGTTCAAAGTTTTATTCAAAAATCCAAAGGAATCTTATTGTTGAAAATTGCTGAATATTTACTACAACTACTACTAACAATATAATCTACAACTTTAGAAAGTGGAAATATTTCAGATGCATAGGCCATCATTCAAATATTCACTATAAAAGAACAAATATGACTGGTTTATAGTTTATTTTGTCTAAACTGATACATTCACATGCTGACATGCAAATTACATCCTCTGAGAGAATCCACAAACGAATTTAACCCCTCTGAAATTTGAAGTCATTGAAATTCAACATGGCTAGAAACTAAATGTCAGCGGATCCTTTTATTTATATATGTTACTGTATATTCTGTATATTTAGATTTTCTGCATTTGTACTTTAGCGAGTGCTGGTGGCGTGGTTGTCTAGGGTGTTGTGTGCATACCTACATGCTAATTGGTGGTTCGTATCCCGCAATGGCCAACATTTTTTTCTTAAGATTGCCTTTACAACACAGGGGAGTTACTACTGTATGACTGTAAATTTCTATTATTAAATTGCCCCCTTCAAAATTCGATAAATTATTTTTTAGTCGAGGCCATTTTGTGGTTTGCGCTAATTTCCATATAAATTGTGTTAATTAATGCTAAATGTTGAGCCGCTGACATGATCTGATTTGATCGCGGACGGGGGTCACTGAACGCCCGGGATAAATTGACTACCAAAAATATGGCCGCCATTTCGGTTGCGAATTACGAATATTTCGGTCTTATTTTTGCTCGATGATCCTCTAATACTCCATGCTTCACACGCTGTTTCCGCAAGTTTCAAGTATTTTAATTCCCGATTTTTTTCATTTTTTTGTCAAAAGAAAAATCGATTGATTTGAATAGTTTTTTTTTAAAAAATCGTTTTTTTTCAGTTTTATCGATAAACCAGCCGACCCTACTTGTGGGTATTCAACAATATGGTTTTGTATATCTGAATAAAAACTACCAAAACTTGTGTATAAGGTATAGAAGACTCTGAAAATGCCATTTCCAACAATCTAGAGACTCCATATTTTCAAAATGTTTCGCTCGGCGCCAACCATGGCACCTCATGGGCCCCCAAAGCAAAATCTCGCAGATGTTTTTTCCCAATGTTGGCAACTATGCATATGCATCCTACTTTATTATTTTACTCTGTTTAATGACGACACACTTTTGCTGGTCAAGGTCAAGGTCAAGTTGCTTTTTACACAGCTGCTCCTGGTTGGGTCAAATTAATTTATAAAATTTACACTGGAAATGTCATGTAGAAAAAATGTGTTTGATTTTTTCTTTTAATTTTATGGTATAACCATAACCCTGATGAGGGGTCCATACGTCTGGTAACTGTAGTTCCAATGGATGATGGTATTCGACCTTTGTGTCTGGCCCTTGGTATACTATCCTTTTTGGATAGTTGATATTATGACTCAACAGCATCCAAATTATGCCAAAACTAAAAAATACTGATATCCAATATCCAAGATTAAAACCTGGTATAACTGTGAGTGTGGTAATCTGTAAGGTTTAATTTTCAAGGGATTTTAAGCAGGATATCAGCTGTCACCAGATCTTTAACATTTTGATTTTGTTGGTGAAAACAGTGCAAGCTTAACCAGGGTTCGATAATTCTAGATTTCTGAATGGCATTCATTCCGTAGCCTGAAAAGCTAAGACCATGAGTTAGAACAAGGAGAAGCATGTGCATATTTCCATACAGAAACACGTATAATTGATTCCATCATTCCTAACTCCTATTTCATCCCATCAGTCCAATCACGTGTTACCCAAAGTTATCATCACCAGTTTTGCATATATATTTTATTGTACGGTTTTAAATACTGTACCTTAGAATAATAGAAAATTTGCTGGTCATATACCAACAAAATGCAAGTACAGTACACAGAAAACGATCTAGTATTCGGTACTAGGGTGAGGCGGTTTTTCGGTAAACCGGAAAAAAAACGATGTTTTTTGAAAACCGAAATACTCGATGTTACTTTTGGAGAAAAACCGGAAAACCGAAAGAAAAACGAGGGAAAAACCGAAGAAAAATCGGGAGTTTGTTGCAAATGAATCATGTTTTGGCATTTACACACGAAAAACTAAAGACATTTTGTTTGAAATTTGATATTAACGTCTTCAAAATACCTCACGTTTAATATCTCGCGTGAGTACTGAATAGCGTGTTGTGTCTTTTTTTACCGTAGTTTCGATTTTCGAACGTATTTTTTTAAAAAACCGGTTCACTCGGTTTTTTCGCTATTCGGTACCTGCGTGGTACTTGGCTGAAAACAAACAAGTACTAGATCAAAATATTGACGTACCTTCGGGTACGTATAAAGTACGCAAATTATCACACCCTGACTTAACTCTTTAGTAATTTTAATAATTATACATTTTATCAGGGCAGAAAGTAATTTAAAATTTTGGATTTTTTGGGATGAAATAACTAACCAACGGTAATCTTGGTATTCTCTAGGATAATGAAGAAGATATTTCTGTCTGGTCACCACCTGAGAATGTGCCATCATTTTACAAACAATTTTCCTCTTCCCTATCATCCGAGGAAGCTGTCAGGCCTGAACACCAAAATAAACAGACTCCTGCAAAATTTTGTGGAGCCGACAGAAATCCACCAGTTAGGGAAAAGTATCGTCCTACTGTCAAGTTAGAAAATAAATCCGTCAGTACCATCACTCTTCAACCTTCATCATCAATGTACACGGCTTACCAAAAAGACGGTAATTCACTCTTGTGTGAAGATGATTCTCCTATCTCTTATAACAAGGGTATCAATGCTCCTCGAGGTTTATCTCTCTCAGACAGTGGTCATCAAGTTTACGAACATGACCACCCTATGATAACATCATCTGATACAAGAAATCCTGATAATGGGGAAATTGTGTCTGTACAGTCCTCACAACCCTCAGTTGGTGGTCCACTAGTTCATGAACAAGAATTCCCTGTTGATAAAACAAATGAGAAAGCAATCAACCTGGAGGAAGCTTCATCTCTAATGTTATGTGAACTGGGCAGTGATCAAGGGACTAATAACAACCATACTCGTGTTGGCCATAATTCTTTTTATGATCTACATTCTGTAGTGTCAATGAAATCATTAGCCTGTCAAACAGATAATGGGCCGTCTATTCATAAACATGACATTTTCACAACATTAAGCGGAAAAAATGCTAATCTTAATACTCATAGTGATCAACAGGTTTCTTCCTCTTATTCAACAATTTCGTGTCAAACAGATAGCGATCTATCTTCTAGCAAATGTTATCTTCCTACAGCAAAGTCAAGTGAGAAAGTTGTTAACGTTAGTGCTCCTATTAATGAACACATATCTACCTCAGGTTCACTACTTTCAACAATTTCGTGCCAAACAGAGAACAACTATTCAAGAAATGTGAAGAAGATGGATAGATCTGCGCAAATGCTTGATTCCAGAAATGTTGGAACAAATGAAGCTATGCAAGTGCCTGATCTTACGGGACAAGTAGAGCAAACGCCGCAGTCTATCTCTGAAAATGATACCGAATATAGAGATCAGTTGGACTTCAACCTACTTAATGAAATCAACTTTAATGAACTCCAATCAATGCTGGGAACTCTTCCTTCTAAGCATGCACTATCAGTATCGGAACTTCTTTCCAGCAGCTCACAACAAGACGGGCAGTCAGTGCACGAAAGCGATGACGAATTGATGTTAAAACTATCTGATCTTTCCAAAGATCAGTTGAGTGTGTGTAGTGGTGTGCTGGATGGCAAGAGAGATATGGCTGAAAGTATCTATCAAAAGAAGAGGAAAGTCAAAGGCAATCGTGGCTCTACTAAAGCTATTCATACTTGGTCTCAGTTAAGCAGTGAAGATGCTTCTACTCAAGAGCCGCAGACAATATTTCTTGATTTAAGACCCGGGGCGAATTTGGAGAAAGAAAAGGTAGACGTGTACAATTAGCCTTAAAAAATTAGATTTAGGTCGGCAACACGACTGCAGTGACAGACCAGATTTGACAATAGCGTGCATATTCTGCTGAGGTGCATAAGTAAAAACCTAAGTTGCTTCAATTAGACACGTTCTTAAGTCCCGTTTACACTTGCAATTTTTGCTGCGATTTCTAGTGCGATTTTCTCCTTCTGATGCATATGAACGAGTAACGAATGTCATAACTTATCCACTGGTTCACATCCATCAGAAGACGAAAATCGCACCTAGGCCTTTAAATTTATATCTTGCTTGCCGTTCTTTTTCTTTAGTTGTACGTTAAAGGGAGAAACAGACATGGATATGATCTGTGGGCTCATTATTCTCGTTCCTCTGAATTGGCTTTGTTGAATACCATGTACCTAAACCATACACCTAAACCATACAAGTATAAATTGGTCGTCTAAAATAGTAGCGTGTGCACCCGGCTTTAGGAAGGGCATTCGCTCGGAACGTTGAAGTGTTTTATTTTTTGCCCCTGTCACCAGTGTTTGCCACTGTTTCATGCAGACACGAGGACAATCATTACAACTGGCCAGTCTGTTCGTGCTTTGAATGAAAAGTCCCCGGGGAAAGTATACAAGAATGCCTGAATGGAAGGAGAAGCTATACGATTTAGTTTTTACGCTGTTATGAACGTCTGCTTATTGGTATTGTGTTTGTTTCTCCAGCAGGAAGAAGAGTATTCCGAATCCATACAGCGAATTTTAGGACTTAATAAAGAAAGGTATAATATTAATAATAATAATATTAATTATTTTTTGTCCGGTCCGTAATCTCAGGTCAGGACAACGTAAATGGAGCCTTCTGATTGGTTGACGAGAGGTCCGTATCACACGATACGAACCTCTCGCACACGTTACGGACCTCTCGCGTTTCACGCCAAAACAAACCCGAGGAGTGAAGATAATTTTCAAACTGAAAAAGTTATCCAAAAAGTTGAAAAATCTTCCCTATTGATGCTCAAGGTAGAAAAATAATCTAGTGTCGAGCCCGAAATGTTCTTTTTGCGACCTAAATGGGGAAAAAACAAGTATTTCTTTGACATATACTGTAAGTATCGAAATATCAGTGCTAAATGTTTAGTTTCAGCATATATTCAGCTATACGTCGAAAAATATACGTTAAAATATAAATACTGGAACCAAGCACTTGTCCTCAAACATAAAATATGAAAAAAATACATTAAAACGGCAGTTTAAACATGATGTCTAGACTTTTGTTTCAATCATATATTTTTATAAATGTTGGCATGAAAACAATGTAAAATGTTTTCGGCAAGTACAATTTCTTGCTGCGTGTCGAAAGAGCATTTTTGAAGCATGCATGATTAGGATTAAATGATCAGGAAAATAAATAGTTTTAATCGCTTTACCTTTTTATTGTCTTGTTGAATAGAAAAGCATCAATAGACCTTATGCATAATGACGTCACAAGGCTTGATGCCCGCGAGGAATGCTGGTCTCAGTAGTCATGCATCGCCCGGGAAAATTTCGATAGTGGCCATTTTGAATTGTTTAATTTTCCTGAGCGATGACTACTAAGACCAGCATTCCTCGCGGGCATCCAGCCTTGTGACGTCATTGTGCGTAAGGTCTATTGCATAAAAAATAAAGGCTTTTTATCGTGTCGTTTTAGCAAGATGTCAGCTATGCTAGGACTAAAGTAACAAACACAACTGATCTCAAACCCTCAATGCTCAAACCTAGCAACATTGGAGTTTTTAGGAATTTGATAAAGCATCGAGCAAAACAATAAATACGTTATTTACCTGTGAGGTCGGTCCGTACTTGAAAAATATTTTCCCTCGGTCTCAGAACGGACTTCTCAACCGGAAGGTGATATATATATATATATATATATATATATATATATATATATATATATATATATATATATATATATATATATATATATATATATATATATATATATATATATATATATATATATTCGCTAAAAGAAACCGCGGAGAACCCAGAGAAAATCTGTAGTGCTTGGTTAAAAAATCGAACTGAAAGAACGCTTCATGATTCAGAAAACTGCATTATTAAAAAATCCACCCCCTGATTCAAACCTGTGCATTGCGCTGGTGTACGATGACCAATACCCCTCACTCATGCGTTTTTGTAACTCAGTGGACAGTTAGTAGTCCACTAAGCTAGTGCAATTTGCAATGCGCAATTTAGAATGTAAGATTTATTTTCTTGATTGTATCGCTACTTCATTGTACAGAATAATCAACCTAACACGGAAAGTGAATTTTTCTGTAGATCTGACAGTTCTTCAGATGATGGAAGTGAAGACGAACTTACCGAATGGCGTGAAATGCGCACGAAGCTGAAGGAAAGAGGAACACAAGAACCAGAAAACCACAAGAAATCCGCACATACATATGCCAGTAAATTAAGCCCACGAAGGGGGAAATCTACACCTTTCCCGCGGAAAATTCCACATACTACCATGGAAAGACTATCTGGAGAAGAATTGACAGGTGGTTTACCACTTGATATATGTAGTAATGGTAAAGTCGAGGGTATAGTGGAGGAATCCGCGCAAAGTGCAACAACTTCACAAGCTGAAGCCAGCATATCTTCAGGATCTAAGATTGATGATAAGGATCAAAACGATGAATGTTTACCAGAAGAAGAAAACAAAGATCAAAGTGTTAGTCGAACAATGACAGAGGATGAGAGTTTTATTGATATGAAGTTAAACCATGAAGAAATAAAAGCTCAAAATGATAATAACGAGCGCATGCCTTACAATGTCGAAAAGGATGAGACGTTCTCAGAAAGCCATACAACTACTAGTGCTGTTGATACATGTGATTCAACCAATGGAAGAGAGAACGTATTTCACAATGAGAATGGCGAGTACACCTCTTCCTCTGATAGTCTTCAAGATGAACATCGTGATGAAGAAAATATTGTTGAATGTCTTGAAAAGGAAAATAGTGTTGCTACACAGGAGTGTGGAAGTGACAAACGACTCGACAGCTCAAGTAGAAATGCCTTTAAGAACAAAGTGTATGTCCAGTTAGATGAAAGAACTACCTCGTGTAATAACAAAAGTGACGAGAAGCCATCAATTCATCATGAAACCGGTGCCAATGCTGTACGTATCGATTGCATAGCAAAGTCTCTCCCTGGGAGTGTAAAGTCAAACATTCCCCAAGAAGCGCACTCGATAAGCACGGCGGATATAAGAAAAAGTTTCCGATTGAGTGGAACTGAAGAAAACTCTAGGGATGAGGTGAAAGACCCAGTTAGAAATTTATCAGCAAGGAGAAATAAAAATAAGTATAAAAAGAGAAAAGAGCTAGCTGATTCAAGAGAATGCGAGAATTCTACAGAATATATAGAGAAATCTCAGCATAAAACGAAAGTGAAACCTCGCAAAACCATTCTTGAGCAGAAATCAGACACAACCCATCAGAACAGAGACGAAAAAACAAGTATAATGAATGTAGAGGATATTTCTCAGAAACAAGAACTCTCAAACGATGTGCTTGATATAGACTATATGAAGGAGGAAAAGACAAGGCCATCCCTGATTTCCAACCACAGAACAACCACACCGGACAGTGAGGAAAACAAACACATAACCAAAAGTAAAATGGTATGTACGACAGGGCTTTTGCCCGCCTAAAAGAGACATTAGATCAGTTCAGATTTGACTTCCACAACCGCTACTATTAAGTAGAGCTGTGCAAACTCCGGTTATTTTAGCTCCGGCTCCGGCAGTCAAAACTCCGGCAAGGAAATTTTAAGGGAATTTCATATTCGGAAGTATTTTAGTGTAATTTCAGAATTTATTTTATTCCTTTTTGAGCTTTCTCCTCTACTTATCAAATATATTACGTTTTTTGGTGCTTGTTTAAACGACGTTTTGTAGAAAGTAAAACCGCATGGCAGCGTGGTATTTTCGCCCAAAGTACATCGGGGTCAGTGGATTTTTGTATCAAAAGCGATAGCGATGCGCTTGCAGAATTTTTGAAGCCACGAATCAGATTGGAGCAAGTAATTAAACTTTATAGTAACTTCAAATCATTCGACTTAATTTTTCCATTACCAATAATTTTTCATAATTTTGTCTGCCGGAGCTTTTGCCTGAGTTTTCCAACTCCAGCTCCGGCAAAATATGCCGGAGCTCCGGTACTCCGGCGCACAGCTCTACTATTAAAGAACCATTAACCAATCAGTTGTGTTTGATATATCCGATTAAGCAATCGGATGGATACCAAGCCAGTGAGCGGTGGTGGAAGTCAAATCTGAAACCTCTCTAATATTAATTTTTATACTGAAATTTATGGCAGTTATTGCGGCTAACATCCTCTTCCCTTGGAGTCATGTATCTACCCAGAAAAACGACGTTTCTTCTCCACAGAAAAACGACGCATAAACCTGCCATCTGAATGAGATTATATGTAACCATAGCGTTCTAACATTAATACTTACGGACTGGACCAAGTCACGGCCCCAAGGTCGCAGTCAACAAGTATACCTAGTCTGACTCGTACCTAGTGTCCTAGTCCGTCCCTGAAATGAGGATTGAAAAAATAATGATGCATGATGGGAAATTTATGACACTCTTCTGTCCACTAATATATACAGTATATTGTACTCATTGACGAGTGGGTACGAGTCAGGTACCATGTGTCAAAGAAAATAAAAGGAAACGAAAAAGCTCCATGCGGATTTTTCTTCCATAACTGTGAACGATTCTATTATTCACCGGTTATAAATGTCTTATCAGAACTACCGCGCAGAACTGTTGCCAGCAGACAGTTGAATTTCGTTTCTTTCACTTGATACGTTCTCGTTCAATGAGATGCATATAATTTATATGAATTTTGACACTTTGTATATATAATAAATTCTTATATTCATTTTGTATTTAAGGACACACGCTCAGCAAACTCATCGGATGCGACAAAACAACAAAAACAAAGAAGCCAAAAAGAAATGAAGAAACTTAAGGAGAAACTAAGAATAAATCTTGAAAATATGAGACCCATTGTCACGACAAATGGAAAGTATCCTGCTGCGTATAATACACCAATCATATATGATCAGGTTATAATCAAGTGATTTACAGTATGTATGGGGGGGGGGGGTAACCATTTGTTTTCTTAGGGGCAGCAGTGGCCATGGCTAGATTCGCCACTGACTGGGGAAGGATGCCAGGGGTTTTTTTTTATATTTCCCACAACCAAGTTCTGTGAAAAAGAATTATCTGGCACACAAACGGAATTGCAAAATTTAATCTTACAAAAACTCCAATGAATCATACAAAAATTCCACCTTCTCCTCAGAACTCAAGGGTTGCCCCTATAGTAGTTTTTCTGTAACGTTTCTACATTCCTAAGGGTAATTTGGCCGAAAAAATAACCCGCAAAACTCTACCTTGAAATATACATTCAAATGCAAAACAAATTGAGAAAATTAATTGTTTGCACTGTATTTGTATTCCAGGATGCCTCATTTGAACAACAGCATCCTGGCTTACTGTCCGCAACAGAAGACCAACTTAGTTTACTACTTGTTGTCACGTTATCTGGGTGCGGTGAAATCAATAATCAACACTCTAAAGGACGAACTTTGGGTTCAGGAAGTGAAGTCAACTACTACTTTGCTTTGGTATCGTGGTTCCTTTACCTTTGTGGCCCTAATAACAGTGACGGTTCCGTACCATTCACTGTCGTCGGTATGCAGCAAACCTGTCAAAATGGTCTACTACAACTCTTTGTCGGTGTTCAACCAAATGAGAAAGTGTTTTATTTAAATACTGCAAAAGGTTCCAAGAAGAACAAAACACGTGCTTTCCATAAGGCAATCTCCAAGTATCTTTCTACACGTTCATTAAGAACTGTTTACCAAAACATGGAAAACGTTTACCTAAATGGCAGTTGTCAAGTTGATGAGAATTCCTACAGTTCAAAGATGTTATCAACGTGTATTAGCGTTGGGCAAGACTGGAACGCAGTGAGACGTGTGTTTAGCAGTAAACCTGGCTTTTATTGGGAAACGATGGAACTTGAAGGTGGCAATGATGTTGTCCAAGACCGTCATTCCTGTGACATAAATGTGGAAAATACCGTTGTGTTTATACGAGCTCCTCTGTATTATCACCCTTCTTGTGTACTTGATTTATTCATGCGTATTGAGAACGAAGGTTGTGATGTGGCTGGACTTCGGCTGACTCTTGAATTTGATTCTTCAGGTATTGTGCTTTTATCTACTGTACTTATTAGTCCGTTGCGACTAGCAGGGCGGCATTTTCATTTTTCCTTAAACTTCGTAGTCTTTGGTGTCACGGACAAATTTAGGGTAATTTATGGATAATGTGGGTCAAGTTGGATCGCTTAGTATTACATATCCGATAAGTTATTAGCTTCCTCCACAGGGTGACATTAACCCACCCCTAAGAAATGTCTACGGAGGAGGCTATAACGTAGTATTCAATGACGTTCAAGTGCGTTGGCTACTATCTTCGAAACGAAAGGTCTTCGTTTGTAACTCCGAAGTCCTTTTAATCTTGTTAAAATCACATCAGGTTATTGTTCAATAAGTAATACCTACACTGAACCCCTACGATTGAGATATCGTAATGGGAGAAACCTAGTGACAAGCATGGTCAATCTTTTATTTTCTCTTTAGCTAGTGCCGTATGCCAGAATGGAGACCATGAGATCCTTCAGTCAGGATGTGATCCACAACCTACTTTTATCTTGGCGGTCAGAGGTCCGTTTGCCATTGCGAAGATGAAGAAAATCATTGGATCCAAGATTCCGTTGTTAGATGACCCACGAGAGACACCCTCCCTTCGTTCTTTATACTGTTCCACCAATACTGAAGATAAATTGTTTTACTGTCCAAGTTACTCCAGTCAAGCTGCGACCCAATTGTCCCGTATGTTTGGTGGACGTCTGACGGAGGACGATGTTGCAGCTGTAGAGGGATCTAGTAGCAAGTCCAAACCATCTTCACCAGACAGTGTTCTTGCTCAGAAACCTCCTGCATTTCTGGTGTCTTCAACCCGTGTTGCATTCTACCTCATCATCTCGCCTGTAGTTCCTCCAAGTTTTTTTGGTGAGCTTCTTCATACCTGCTCTCTCCGAGGCTTTGTCTTGCATGGTATACGTAGAGTGCAACTTAGTAAACGTCAGGGAACAAGCCTTGGTTTCTCACAGCTGCAGTTCCATGTATTCTGTCCATCGTCTGGAAATACACCTGTGCAAAGTCCAAGTGGGTCTCCGCCAGGCAGTCCGGCCAGGCGGAAATCAAATCTGAGTTTGGAAGCCACGTTAGCCTTGACGAAGACGAGCAAATCCTATCCTTCAACCATCCTCGTATTACAGAAAGAAAACGGGTTATACCATGCTGCAAGTTTGGCGAAACATTTATTTGAATCATTGAAGGATTGGACGTCAACCAATCCTACCAGTTTGCCTGATCTCGAAGAAACCTCACCACGAATGTATTTAACCATCACGCAGTTAAACGAGGCCAGCTCAAAATCATTATGGGGAGACGTATGCTTTAAGCCTAGTACCAGTCTTATCAAACATGCCAGAAATAATCGATTTTTGTTAAGTTCTGAAGTAGAGCAAGTATGTGTGCTTAGTTCAGTGAGCAAGGAAGCTATTCAGCATGTTGGAATACTTCTAAAGAAGCTCACCAATAGCAATCATATTGCAGGTGATTGGGAATTACTTGGAATGAAGAGCTTCCCAAGTCTCAGTCTTGTTCAAGCAAGGGAGGTTACCCCGCATGAAGTTGGTGATCGTTCTTGGCTAAGCAGCGTGAAGCTGTTGATGTCAGCCGCCGTGTTTGTCTGCGTTTTGAGAGGGATCAATATCATCCATCGTGTGCGTGATTTCATCATTGCCCTTGCTAAGATCTCGACCAAAGAAGATGGTTGTCTACACGAAGGTTGGTGGTTATCCCAGACAGCTGAGGTTGCATATCGACAGCTAACCGTGTTATTTGAAGAATCAGAATTATTTTCTGATGAAACAAACAGAACAAACACCAAATTTGTCCCACCACTCCGTAAAAGATCATTACAAAGCTCCACGCAAAGAGAATCAAAGGAATTCCACCAGAAACAGCGTCGGAAGTTGCATGATCACAAGGCATGTTCAACTGATGATTCATCTACCAGTGTAGAAACTACACAGTTCAATGAGGTACCAATCATACAATCACTGCTGGCTGGTCCAAGACCATTACCCACGATTGCATTGATTAAACCTTCATGTGTTGTAAACACAAAGAAGATTAGTAAAATATTTAAGAGTGTTCTCCAAGAGAACTTTAATATCGTGGCATTGAGCATGAGAGTGTTGACTCAAAGTGAAGCACAAGTGTTAGTCCGCGATGGTGAACCGGTAAGTTAACTTGTTTTGATATTTTTTATTAGTATAGGTAATAGCATGGTTTCTAGTGCAATTTGGATATAACATGCACGAGTGAGTTTTTCAAAGGCCTCAAAATAGCACGAGTCCGAAGGACGACTGGCTTTGTTATATCACATTATACAACGCTAACAGCTTGAAAATTCCACTCAACTATGTAATTTTTGTTAGTCTTGTTTAAGGTAAATTCTTTTCCATTTAAAAATAAAGATAAAAGCCACAAGGCAACTTTTACTTTGTGTAGCGCGGCGCCATGTTTGTTTTGTTTTGAAGCAATCTGTGACCGTTACTTCTTTAAACTAAATTGCTTTAAACTGATTGGTTGATTTAATCACCGCAATGTTTTTCCACCAATCACATCAGTTTGTTACAGATTTTGCACTGTGATTACAGAAAATTGCACTGTGATTACAAAAAATTGCACTGTGATTACAGAAAATTGCACTGTGATTACAGAAAATTGCACTGCTGTTTGGGATTAACTGCACTGAAATCAACCAATCACAGTCGAGTAATATCTTTATGTATATTATTACTTTGATAACAATTGATTATGACGTCACTATGAGCCAATGTCTGTGTACATAATTATAACATCGTGACAGAATGATCTTAGATATGCTTAGTTATTTATAGGATGATTGATTTAGACCTGACCAGGAGCAGCTGTGAAATACAGTGCCGAATAAGAGAAAAAAAAACAATTTATATAATTATTAAATATTCTGACCACAATAGGCTCGCTACTCGCGTGCCCCTCACCCGCGCTTCTAAACGCAATATGCGGTCAGGAATCAAGCCTAAACCCCTGCGACTCCGGTGCAGCTACAGAGTCCAGTTGCCGAGTATTAACCACAAGTTCTTGTATATATGGCAAGGTGATTGCTGGTGTTAGGTGTATGGGTAAATATCAATATTTTGAGTATCTCGCTCAATAGAACTCAATGAAAAATCCCTACCATGCAACTGTGCTAATTGTAGAACTGATAAATATGGCGAGTGAAAAGATGTGTCTTTTTTATTAATTCATTCTCTAGGACTACGATGATCATATCCAGTACTTATCTTCTGGTGCATCACTTGTGCTATGCTTACAACGTGAGAACGCTGTCAAGAAACTTCTAGATATCTTAGGACCGGAAGATCCTATTATTGCTCGTAGTCTTGATCCATTTCTACTCCGTGGTTGTTATGGTGTAGACTCGATTCACAACGCCATTCACGGTAATATATCAAAAAGCGTGAGGTTTTGTTTGTGCGTTTTGTGTAGAATTCGCTCGTAGGATTTGAAAACTTTTCTTTTTTGAGAATGGTAGATCATATTCAACAACCCAATCTCGCTCGTACAGAAAGTACTGAGGCCAAAAAAAAAATATGTGGGTTTCCGGTTTCTTCTTATAAAAACTTAGGTAGGGTAGGTCGGTTTTAACTTTTTTTTTAAACTTTTTTTTTAATTTTCCGAACAAGCGGACGCCATTTTGTTTAGTCAGTGCTTCCACATCCAAAGATAAATTTCCCTAATATTGCCTCAAATTTCAATTTTCCACAAACTTTTTCCTCTAAGTGGAAACACTTACAACCATGATCCAATAAAAAAGTTTAGGGTCGGGATTTTGACGTCCAAAAGCTAGGTAGGGTCGGGAAACCGGAAACCCACATATTTTTTTTTTGCCTGAGCAATGTGTTCGACTGTTTCAGGTCGCCACAATGACGTCACTGAACAGCTGATTCGCACGTTGTAAGCCAATACGATTTTTGGTTACAATTTCAATTTATACGTTTAATTAATACGTTAATTTCATTAGAGGGGTGTACGTTACGTTAGGGGAGGTTTGACGTCGCAAGAATTCTATCACTAATTCTGTGCTCAGCCGAACAGAATAATCAGACTTCTTCATTATATTCACAGGTTCAGAGTCATATAGTTCAGCTGTTTGTGAATTGAAAATGCTCTTTCCTTGTGGTGTTTGTTGTGACCAGACAGTGGATCTCGAAGCAGAGCAGGTAAAACCAGGATGAGTTAATCTTGCAAAAAAATAATAATCACACCAAATTATACGTTCTTGGTTATTTATCCACCAAATATAGTCTGGTTAATGTATCCAGGACGTTCTGGTCAAATATAACCATGGTTACGTTAGCCAGAACCAGGGATATTAACTGAAGTTAACCCAAATTATTTCTAGGTTAATTTTAAGGTGGCTCGATACAGTTTTCAAAACGTCGAGTGTGTAATAGTTTGACAGTTGTAAACGTCGTAGTTTTAGGTTTTATGCAGCAGATATCAGGATGTTCATCTATTTTGATGTTTCTTTCAATTTATGTCCGTTTTGGTAACACATAGTTAGTTGCTATGGCAAAACAGGCGTACGAAATTCACTCGAAAATAACCTATTTCTTTGTGTTGTTCGAAAAAAAGCACGGTGACCCCCATTTTTTTCATGCATCATTTAACTTGGAACATGCCGTACACTAACAATAAGCAAAATATAAAAAAAATTCTGTAATGCCAGTTTTTTGAAAAACGCAAAAATGCCGTTTTTTCAATAAATATTTTTGGCACTACAGAATTTTTTTATTTTTATTATATTGAAAGAAGTTTGCAGTACAATGCAGTGTGCAAAATTTCAGCATAGGTCTCCGAACAAAATAATGAATAACAGCGCATTGTTTTTAAAAAATTGACATTTTTAATGACGTCAGCAATTGACATGCAATGCGTTATAAACTTGTACAATGGCGCGAGATCGATGGCGTGAGCAAGTCGCCACATCAGGTCATATATGTAAGTGCTTTCGTTAATATTCCCGCGGGTTTGTTCATATAACACAACGTTTTGTTTTCGCGATTCTTGTATAACGGATTTTGTGTGGATTAATATATCGAGCCGCCTTAACCAGGAAAATTTTAACCAAGGTGTTTTTAATTTTTTCATATAAAATACTTAACTTCTATTCATATATACATTATTCCTACTGATTCATTTCAATGCTGATTTTACAGATTCCTTGTCGTGCCTTTGATGCAACAATTGGAAAGGAAACAGAACGAAAGTTGACAAAATGTAATTCTTACATAGTTATTTTGAGACTGCTTGGAACAACGAAAAATTTCTTGTTATACCAAACGGGATAGGGATTTGTAGCCGGCTGCCACACTCTACCCATTGTACCATTGAGTCATTTGGATTATTCGATATGTTTAAATCTTGTATTTGTTGCCAGTCATAAATAGAGAGATTCAGATTTTGACTACCGCTACCATTAACCAATCAAATGGGTTTACTTTAATCTATCCGACTAACCAATGAAATGCGTATTAAGCCAGTGAGAAGTATCGGTAGTGCATGGAAGTCAATCTAAATATCTCTGATGATAAATCGTACTTTACAATGTTGCTTTAATCATAACATGACCATAAGCAAGTTTCTTGATTAGCGTTGCATTTTGAAAGGTATATCTTAAAATAGAATATATCTGACTCGTTTACAGTCGCTCATCCCGCGTTGAATGATGAGAATACATCAAGCATGGGCCTTTGCGTCCTATTGTCCAACCCGCATAGGCTACATGATCTTTATTTTTTTCGAAACAAATTTGAGGGACTGTGGAAGAGTCCGTATCTTTCAGTGAGCTCCATATATATCTGGAGCGAGATCTCGAGTCTAAAAAGTGAAGCCAAAGATGGAGGATTGGACGTCAACTTCAGTCCCTTTCTATTGTTTTTGTCTGCAAGGAATGTACCGAAATTTCGTGTTTTGACTTCGATTTAAAGAATAATACAATGGTTTTATGAACTGATAACTTGATTAGCGATACGGTCCGTTAGAAGTAGCTGTACGGTCCGTTGGACTGATTAGCTGTATTAAAACTGTTTACAACTTCATACTATTGCAGTATTGGACGCCAATTCCGCCGTCTTGCCTTCACTTTTCTTATGGGCCGCGAATTATTGAAGTTCTTCATTGCTTACACTGAATCAAAATATCTTTTCTTCCATCTTGAATCACTGTGTTCTAATATATTTGTTTTGAAATATTTCCCTAGGTGTAACCCATTCGTCAGGGACTGGTTTGATCAGTTCTTTGGTTGAGATCAACTGTGTGATATTAACCCACCATATTGTGTACGGCCGAAATGACAGGAAGCAGATTGCATTAGTTGAAGTGTTGGAATGTTTATTATCTACGAACTTCGTTCTGGTTGGTATGAAGATGGCAATTTTATCACATGATCAAGTTAATGAATTTCTCACGTTAACTGGTTCAAAATCACACAGCAAACAGAATTTGGTAGGTGTATTTTTATGCTAATATCATTTTAGTCAATTTACTCGATTTTGATTGATTAAAAACCATAGGTAGCCCAACAATCAGTGTTATTAATTCATTTACTTAGTCCCCGACTGCATAACGTACATGATCTGACCGCGCGTGAACAATGCAGTCGGGGACTAAGTAGTAGTATGATTTTATTGAACAGAAATGAATGAATAACACTGATTGTTGGGCTACCTATGTTAAAAACTGCGCCGATTAAACATTAATCGGCATGGATACGAGCCCGCGTGCATTCCGCACGCTCACGTGAGTGCAGAAATTTAAACGCAATATCTAAATAAACAACGTGAAAATTTATATTTTCTGAGCTCTAATTTTGCAATGAGCTCTTGGACAGAAGATAAAGATGAAATAAAAATTGTTCACAGTTTTTACATGTATGAATTGAGAATTAATGTCAGAATATATAATTTTAATACAATGTTTCTTGTCATTGATTAAAAAATTAAAAGTATAGTGATTATAAAAGTAAAGTTAATTATAACATTATATTATAATTTTTTCCTGTGCATGAGTTATTACTGTCGTGCTTCCTCCTACGCTCTATTATAAAGGAACTTATTACTACAGCGATAAGAGTTTTTATTGCTTCCCGCAATAATTTATAGTTAAAATTAATTATGCGAAATAGGTTATTTGCGCGCGCAAGTTAATTTAAGTATAGTCACGTGATTGGAAGGTTCGGTAGTTATCAATGGTGAAGCGGGCCATCTTTCCTTTCCTATTCCACGAGGGCTGCAGTGCACATCAAGAAATTGGACGAAAGAGATTTACTCACCCTCCTCCCCGTTTTTGGACGCTATATATTGAACTTATATAGATATGTTATGTGTAGTGGGCGTTAGTAATACCCCCAACTCTTCTGTGCTAAATGTTATATAGTTATTAATTAATAATTTTTCTTGTTAATTATTAAAAATTGATTAAAACAAAGCGGCTATGTGCTGACAACCGGGCACATATAGCCATAATTATGCCATAAAGGCTTTGACTGCAGGTCTTGTGGTATTCGAAACTTGAAAACCGAGCTCAACCTGACAAACCGTTTGCCGATTATGGTTTAATATATGCAGGGAAGCGATAAATATTTTCTCGTGCTACGCACTCGCAGTATTATAAATATTTCGCCAAACACGTGTGCGAATTTCATTAATACCTATACCAATATTGGTGGTTTATAATCAATCCCTTGAGATATGTATAAGACAAAGATATGGCGGCCATGTTGAAGGAAATCACGCTCCAAATACAATATAGGAAGAGATTATTTCGCTGGCCTCAGAGTGACAAAATGTAACAAAGTAACGGTTTTACTAACACTAACCCTACTCCAAACATCAACTCTAACCTTAATCCTAACCTAACCTAACCCTACTCCAAATTTGTTTCTAAACCAATCTTGAAGAAAAAAGTTTTGACGAAATGCCGGGAGGTCAGCGAAATAGTTGATGCCTACAATATAGCTGCCAGTGATTTTGTTAGCTTTCCTCCAACATGGCCGCCATGCCGTCATTCGTCAAGTGCAAACCAAGAATACAGGATGTCTAAGAAAATATAGTCCGGTTTTGACTAATTATATTCATACAGTTATATAGTATACGTTTATACAGGTTGTATAAAAAATCAGCCTATTTATAATAAATAATCCTACTATAAAGTAATAAAACTTTAGTAAATAATGTTCGTGTGCGTTTTTCAAACTCTTTTTTCATACAAATGCGTGAACTTTGCTGTAGTTTAAATCATACAAAGAAAATGCACAAGGATACTTGAACGTGATGGTTTAGAAAAAGATGATGTAAATTTGTATCTTCAAGTGGCATTCTTGACGTTTTTGAACGCCGTACGTGAGAGTCGCTTCGCGAACATTGCCATTGGGATATAAAATTTCCTCACGTATTTGCATGCAGTGTTCCCTGCACAATAATACAATATATTAGTACTTCTGACAATAAAGATGACTTTTAAATACTGAGCCATTTACTATAAAAATGAGCCCTTCAAACAAACCGCCATATATGGAAACCGAAATTTGATTTGAGACAACATTGGCCGATTGTAATAACTCGCACAGGAAAAATTTTGACATCAATGATTGAACACTTCCAAGATAATGCCAACAAGTCATAAAAACGTCATAAGTCAATAAAGACATAAGTCATAGTCGAATCATAAGTCAATAACTAAATTTCACCCTTTTCCTTCGGTAATTAATGTTTTTAAAAATAAAACTTTGCACATTTTTGCATGTCGGCCAAAACAGAAGCAATATTTAAAATGTTTATCCGGCGAAGACGAAGGGAATTTTTTAATATTGATTTATGACGTTTTTTAAATTTTCTGAAAAACGTGTCAATGGAATTTTTTTAAATGAAGAAAAAAGATCATTATACTGGTATTGCCTTTTATGCAAAGTTTTAAAAAATTTACCGAAAGAAATGTTTTAAATGGCTGGAAAGCCCGAAGGACATGCATGTTGCCATGCTACCGGACTTTCAACACAAAAGTAGCACATTGTAATATTCAAGAGGGCAATGTCAGTGTTTCCTATAAATTTCGTCATCATGTCATGTAAAGTGCAGTAACAAGAGTCTTCTGAATACTACACGGTGTATTAAAAACCTTTCGGTGTATTAAAAACCTTTTGGTGTATTAAAAACCTTTCGGTGTATTAAAAACGGTGTATGACAAGACCTTTAGAAATCAAGCTGTTGTTGTTAAGCACAAGATTTTATGCTCATGGGAATTTAAGGTGGCTCAATACAGTTTTTGAAATATGACAAAATCGTGATTTAGATTTAATTTTTTGAAGAGAGGTTTCTTGTTAGAAGACAAAAATTGTACCACATATATTGAGCAATCTTCTAAGAGTTGAAAATTGTTCACAAAAATGACGTCATAACCGTTGCTATGGTAACCCATTAACCCTTTCAACCCATTTTACTCGAAAAAAAAGGCCGGTTACCCCCATTTTTTATTTCGTGAAACGTTTACATTCAGAAAAATGAATGATGTGAACAAGTTTAAAAAATTTTGTAGATCCAAAAAAGATTTATCACGAAAAATCACGTTTTTTAATTTTTTAAAAATACTGATCTACATAATTTTTTAAAATTTGTTCATATCATTCATTTTTCTAAATGAAAATGTTTCACGAAATAAAAAATGGAAGTAACCGGCCTTTTTTCGATTAAAATGTGTTAAAAGGTAAAATGTCGGCCATATTGAAAAGTCACTGTTACCATAGCAACGATAATGACGTCACGTTTTTTAACAATTTTCAACTCTTAGAAGATTGCTCAACATATGTGGTACAATTTTTGTCTGCTAACAAGAAACCTGTCTTCAAAAAATTAAATCACGATTTTGTCATTTTTCAAAAACTGTATTGAGCCACCTTAAATTGGCTTCTTCTCGTATGAAGGAGCATAACTGCATAAAATATTGTCATATTAGTAATTAGTAATATCATCAGTTGGAATAAAAATGGCAGAACTGACCACAGAGCAACGAGTTTTTTATTGTTTTACGCGCTCTGTTAAATTAATCAGCATATAACACTCGCATGTTGGACGAAACGAAATTAAAGTTTTAAATAACTTCCTCATGCATAAAATTCATTTCCATTCTATTTTATGCACCCATGGGTTTAACATACTATAGTGCTATGCATTTAAATCCCAACAATAGCTTGATTTCTAAAGGTCTCGTTTTTCTCTACACCCTGTGTATAGGGTGTCCCGAAAAAAAGTATACAGGGTGTCCCCCAAAAAACCAAAAGCATTGAAATTAACGCATTGTTTGAATTTGAATGCCCTAGCACTCTGCTGAAGTGCTGAACCCACACGTGCATCAAAGCTTGACGTAAGTAAATTTTATGCATAAAGAAACCGTTTAAGAAGCTGTTTTAAATTCCAAAGAGCAGAAAATCGTGCGCTTTACAAAGATATTTTAATTTCTTAATAAGTCAATATTTAATATATGCATCCTTGTCAAATATTTTACGCATCTTTGCATTCAAATTCAAAGGGCATTCAAATTCAAACAATCCGTTAATTTCAATGCTTTTGGTTTTTTGGGGACACCCTGTACAGTACAGGGTGTATAAAAAAAAGCGCAACCTCGGAATTTCCCAAGAAATCCACATTGTTTTAAAGACAAAAGATTTTAGGCGCCTGAGAATTTAAAATAGCACAACTGTCAAAATTACTGCACACGCGCGAGTGCATAAAGCAAAATTTATGCATTTATTTAATCACAACAACAGTAATATGATCTATTAGCAATTCGATTTCAATTCTCAGGGGCCTAAAATCTTTTATGCTTAAGAATTGCAAAGTGATTTCTTAGGAAATTCCGAGGTTGCGTTTTTTTTGCGCAACCTCGGAATTTCCTAAGAAATCACTTTGCAATTCTTAAGCATAAAAGATTTTAGGCCCCTGGGTATTGCAATCGAATTGCTAATAGATCATATTACTGTTGTTGTGCATTAAATAAATGCATAAATTTTGCTTTATGCACTCGCGTGTGCAGTAATTTTGACAGTTATGCTATTTTAAATTCCCAGGCGCCTAAAATCTTTTGTCTTTAAAACAATGTCGATTTCTTGGGAAATTCCAAGGTTGCGCTTTTTTTGATACACTCTGTATATACCTTTTGAAATTTTCCTATTGTAATAATTTGAATGCCTGAGCAATTATGCTGTACCCACGGAAGCGTCAAATACAGGATGTATTGAAAAGCAAGACCTTGATAAATAACTCCTGGGAATAATACTACCTGGGAATTGAAAATAGCTTCTAATCGTATGAATTATAAAGAGCATAACTACATACAAAATTGTCAAATTACTAATTAGTCATATCACTTCATTCTGTTTTACGCACCCGTGCAGGGTTCAACATAGTAATATGGCATTCAAATTCCAACAAAGGCTTGATTTTAAAAGGTATACTTTTGGGGGGACACCCTGTACAGGGTGTATCAAAAAAAGCGCAACCTCGGAATTTCCCAAAAAATCGACATTGTTTTAAAGACAAAAGATTTTAGGCGCCTGGGAATTTAAAATAGCATAACTGTCAAAATTACTGCACACGCGAGTGCATAAAGCAAAATTTATGCATTTATTTAATGCACAACAACAGTAATATGATCTATTAGCAATTCGATTTCAATTCCCAGGGGCCTAAAATCTTTTATGCTTAAGAATTGCAAAGTGATTTCTTAGGAAATTCCGAGGTTGCGTTTTTGTTGATACACCCTGTAGTGTAATATAATGCAAAAACCTTTCAGGGAACCATTTCAATACTCAACAATATCAATTCCCATGGGAAAAATGCAATTTCGACCAGCCACTTTAAATCAGATCGTGCTGTTTTGCTATTTTTTATCTCCATGATTCAACAACGTGTCATTTGAGAACTAAAAGCTTGATCTTTAATTATTGGTATAAAAAATGAAATCTATGACTATGTAATAAATCTAATATTGGTATGAAAAATTTGATACTTGATGCACGATTTGATACTTGATGATACTTGATCCAAAGTTGGATTACCTGTTTTGATACACCCTGTATTTCCTTTTCTGGGAATGAATTAAATAGTTGCAGCACTTCCGGGTCACGTACTTTTTGGTTGCCGCTGTTTGTGTAGTTTATACTAGTTAAGAGGCAATTTTTTTTCAAATATGCCGAGTATTTGCGATGAAAAGTGTTCAAAGCCTAAAATCGTTTTGGCGTTCCTCTCAAAATTACTTTGTTTTAGCTTTATTTTGTAGTTTACACAGTTAGCAACCTTTTCAAATGTATCTGGCGGTTGAGAAACATAAAATAACAGTAAAACTAAAAAATTGTCAATTTAAATACAATTATCATTGATTGATACTCTTGATTTTAGCATAAATTTACGAATAAAGCATCAAATAAACTTTAAGTTTGTTTGCCGCTTGAGAAACGTAGTTTTGAGCGCGTATTACGTGACATACAAAAGATTCTCCTCTTTATAATACTCTTGCTTGTATTTCTAGGAAAAGGAACTAACAGAAGGACCATGTATTATACTTGCTTTACAAAGAGACAATGCTATTACATGTTTTGATTCCATCATTGAAAGGTATGGTTATCCCGTGTGAACATTTCATAGATATCTTATACACTAGATATAGCGCATCTCTTTTAGTAAAATTGAAGCCAAGAATATTCCAGCGGTTACCCCCATTTGAATAGATGGCGGCCATGTTGGAGTTTCCCACTCGCTAATAAACGCTTTAAAAACAACAATAACTTTTATCATTTGAATAGTTTGAAAATAGATTTGGAATAGGTTTAACTTAATGTTTAAGTTCCCTGTTTAAGAGATAGAAAACATACGGGTCTTCTCATTTCATGAGAATATCCTGAGTCTGTAATCACGGCTTCAATTTTTGAATTGCAGAATAATTAGATACACTATCTAGTATATATAAGATATCTATGGAACATTTAGTAAACAGCTGTGGTGTGAGAAATATAAACTTCGATTTCCCGACGAAGGTCCTTCGCTCGAAACGTCCAAGTTCTGTTTTTCAGATAGTTGTATCTCTCACAATGATCTGATTGCTTGCACTTCACTTGGTGGAATTAATATTAGAATGCTGTTTTTTAAGGGTTTGTAATCCAAGTGAGTATATATATACACTTTAAGACCTGACCAGGAACGACTGCGAAAAATGCAGCACAAGGTCCTCTGGTAGGAATTGAACCTACGGCCCTGCGATTCCGGTAAGCGCTCTAACCAACTGAGCTACAGAGGCCAGCTGTTGAGCTATAACCGTAAGTTCATGTATATATAGGTAATCGGGTGTGCGGGTTGTGATAGGGTGGACTTCAATGATCTGATTGCTTGCACTTCACTTGGTGGAATTAATATTAGAATGCTGTTTTTTAAGGGTAAAAAAACAGCATTCTAATATTAATTCCTTAAAAAACAGCATTCTAATATTAATTCCACCAAGTGAAGTGCAAGCAATCAGATCATTGAAGTCCACCTTATCACAACCCGCACACCCGATTACCTATATATATACATGAACTTACGGTTACAGCTCAACAGCTGGCCTCTGTAGCTCAGTTAGTTAGAGCGCTGCATCGGAATCGCAGGGCCGTAGGTTCTATTCCTACCAGAGGACCTTGTGCTGCATTTTTCGCAGTCGTTCCTGGTCAGGTCTTAAAGTGTATATATACTCACTTGTATCTCTCACACACCGCAGCTGTTTGTTATCGTCGCTACCTACACTGGCACCGACCTTTAGATTTTTAGGTCCCCAAAAAACTCAGTTTAAAGTCAGTTGTGGAGAAAATAGAACAAAGTGACAGCTCTCTCTTTCTCGGTTTCTACCTTCGACTAGTGAAAGTGTACATGGACGTGATCTCCGTAATAGTAAAAACCGCATGTCCTTTTTATGCAGGACTAATAGATACAAAAGTAGTTTCTTCCCTTCTTTAATTGATATACATTGAACTCAAAACGGACACGATTGGAATTATCTTAATGTAAACACATGTACAGCAGTTTTTTTTACGATTTTCGCTTTTTAGATACTGATTTAGTTATTTGTAGTAGGTATTTTGTAACACATACGGCAAATCATTCTTATGGGAGTATGTAACACATACGGCAAATCATTCTTATCTACCCCTGAGGCTTCATTGATTGTATAGGCATCTTTCATGAGTCTTTTTAAGGTTGGCAGGGGGTTTATATGGAGGTGGGCTTGTTTTAATAAAGTGTATGCTTTCAGGTATGATTGCTGCGTGGGTGTGTAATATGATTATCACATTTATGAAATGGTCGTGGAAGCCAAGAAGTTGTATTTTGAATTTGCAGCATTTACTGGTCGTCCACCAGTAGCTCTCTGTTATTGGGCTTACTAGAGGGGAAATGGAGTGGAGCATTTCTGTTATTAGACTAACTAGCGGGGAAATGGGTGGGGCAGTTTTGCTATTGGGCTTACTAGCAACGGAATGGCTTATTTGGATTGGGACCAATCGGGAGGGGTAACGTTTCGAGTTGATGATTGTTGAAAATATGTAAATATGTACTCATAGTTATTTTTTCAGTGTCGGAGGAAAACGGCGTTCAATAACAGAATATCGCAAACACATCATTCAGGCAAAAACAGAAGAAGTGGTAAGTACCATCTTTTGTATGTGACTTGTGAACGTATATTCACAAGCTTGTGAGAATTGTACGCGGTAATCGTTGTGTTGCCTTTTATCACTAAATGTGGCTGCTGTAACCAGTTGCCAGCCCAAAAATATTAGGCAGCTTTACATTTGAGAACGACTACGTCACTACGAGATGCTGTACATGCTCGCCATCTTCTTATTGGCTTACATACACACGCCTTAATCTCGTAGTAGATGTTTGTTTTACTGCGAGACTTTTCAAAAATCCAGCTGTGAATTTCGCGACGGCTACGTGTTTGTAAGGCATCAATATACATGATGGCGTAGGAAGTTGGCGTGTCCACTGTCCAAATAACGAATCTCGTAGTCTCCGTCACAGCTACATGAAAAATAACCAGTCAAAATAATGTGACAATAAGTGTACTTTCCATATCTTTGAGTGTTAAAAGCTCAAAATCGAGTACGAAAAATGTCTTGTTTGGGACGCCCTGCCGGTTACCGGAATACAATACGTGACAATGTGCTTCGTCTTTTTAACAGCAGGGTTAATCATTCTTGAAATATTTTTGTACGCTTTATTCCACTCGACTCACTGTCCATGCTCACGTTGCGGCTATTTATGAAATAATTAATCGTAATTAAATATATATTTATTGGATTTGTCATATAATTGGCCGAATATTCTCTTAAATTGAAAAATAAAATTAATTTACCTCTTCTTCAAGGTGTACTTATCTTTATGTATTAGTTTCGATGTGATTTGAGCACGTTTTGGTTTAATATCTCTGGCATTACACTTTAAGACAATATTCTAGCAATTATTTGACGAATGGAATAGAATACAGTATCTAACAGAGAAGGAAATTACTCAACAGGAAATGCTGATGAAGAACTTTTCAGCAAGTTCTTTTATTGTTCAAATAATTTACAGTAGAGTGTTTTGTTAACGTGAGCTTGGGCCGCTGTGCTCGTGTAAAAGAAGAATTTGGGAATTGATATTCAGACCTGGACAATTTTGGGAATTGATATTCAGACCTGGACACTCAAAAGTGCGTAAACATGAGTACATTACGCCATTGTGTATGCAACAACAAAGTATACTTGACTGTCTGTATGTTACATGTCTCAAGTGACAGATAAGGAAGTATGATATAAAATGTTCCTCATTCTTCTTGCTCAAATGTTCCTCATGATGCAATACCCGAAATCCCACCTTTTTTTCCTGGTCTGTTAATGTTTCCCTTTTGCTGATGAACAAAAGGCGCCCACTTTTATTCTTTTTTTTTATTTCAGGCTAGAAATTTACTGGTGTATTTTTTTGATGGATTAACACCGAACTCTGTCCAACAGATTTGCCCGGTTTAACTTACGACGGAGTTTTGTATGTATGAGTGCATTTTTGCACATTAAATTAATTTAATATGTATTCATTATCAAAATGTGGATAATATATAAGAATATTAATTTATAAATTCTTATTTAAAGAATGTTATTTAAAGAATGTTCTTTGTAACTCTACTAATTTAATTAAGTAATAAATGTATGTGAGTCCGTATAGAGAGCTTAAGCAAGCCACGGTTTTGATAACACCAACCAGAAGTCCGTTATAGATGGCGAGTCATGACAGCGAGAGCCGTTCTTGTTTGAAATAACGAACGTAGCCTGTGCGCTTACGAGAGGCATTCGCCCCCCTGAACACCTAAGCCAAGCCCATTTTGAATGTTTTCAGGGGGTGACGTCCTAGTGCACTGGCTAAGAACCTGGCGACAGCATTGCGATAATGCGATTCATGGCGTACCAGCGGTTACGCCAAAATGATACGCGCCAACAAGTCTGTATGTGTCTTTTCTGTAACGGCAGTCATGGAAATTTCAGGAACATGACGATAGCATTGCGAATCATGGACATGGTGTGGCGGCGGTGACGGGTTTTTGGCTGGGTCGTACCTCTATGTCTAATCTACTCTGTGCTGCCGTTCTTGATTGCCGACACTAGTGAGGGCTTAAGGTCCAGTTACACGTGCGATTTTTTTCTCGCGCCGGCAACGCAACGGGTTAAATTTCATTGCGTTACTCGCGCGAGTCATGAAATTGCCCGTGTAACATATCTGGCGCGGCAACGCAATTGCAACCCGATATTCTTGGCAACCGTTGCGGAAAGTTGAAATGTTTGAACTTTCGGCAACGATTGCCGAAAATATCGAATTACCCAGGCATTGTTTGAGCAGGAAACGCATGGGCTATTTTAAGATAGCCAATGAAATTCGCTTCTGTACGGACAGCGTGCTGTAGCGCTGCCAAATATCGAAGCGTTAAACAACACATTTCTGCTGGCTTGATTGATTCACGCATTATTGTGTCTTTCTTGTAAAGCTTTTCAGATAGATTATCAACTATCTTTTTGAAATGATCAAAATCCATTCGCATAAATTTTTCAAATCCTGGTGTGTCGTGGGCAGCCAGATCGGGAAGAAGCTGACCGAAATAACCTTTGTTTTTTCTCTCTAGAAGCCAGTGCCGGCTCCAAATACGTTTCTTTTCTTTAACCACCTCGTCATCTTCTTGTCAGTGAAATTTGCGAATTGCGAAACACTAGTGCCCGGTTTTTTCATGCAAATAGTTGCGACGCGGCTAAGCTATCATTGCTCGTGTCACCACTTCACTCGCGCGAGTAACGCAATGAAATTTAACCCGTTGCAAAGGCGTTGCGTTGCCGGCGCGAGAAAAAAATCGCACGTGTAACTGGACCTTGACGTTTTTGACAACACGGACGTCGACCGGAAGTAAAGTTGACGTTTTTCACCAATCACAGCCCTTGACCCAGTCTTCTGACGTTACTCATGCCGTTCGTGTTGTCAAAAACGTCACTTGATTAAGCTCACTATTATCACTCGATATCTATTAAGGCTCAACTGACGTGAGCCGGATGGCGTACGTGTTGTCAAAAACGTCACTATTAAGGCTCAATTGACGTGAGCCGGATGGCGTACATCACAGCATCTGAAATATGTGGCTATCTTTAAAACAGGGAACGGGGAATCCGGGAATCGGGGAATCCGGGAATCGGGGAATCCGATAACAATTTTATAAAAATTTAAATAAAAATTTTATTCAATTTACAATTTATGCAATAAAAGAAAATGAAGCTTAATCGAAAGTTTGACGTCACACCAAAATTGCAGGACACGAAGTCGTGAAAAAACCCAGTTTAATACTTTTAAACAGGCATTTAATGTAAACTTCACGCAGGATATAAACTAAAGCGAATGTGTAATAGCCATGATTGCGCTAAATTAAAGAGTTTCGGTATGCATTGTCGCCATTTTTTGTTGGCACTTACATGTAATATAATATTTCATTGCTTTGATTGTGATCATGATGTCTGGAGTGCATGGAAGCTTTAAAATGCCATCGCTAATAAAGCGAAGGCGAATAGATCATGGTCTGCCTCCAACTGTAGTTTTACTAACCAAGACTGAAGACCAGAGATAAATTTGTACAACTGAAAGTCTGAAACTATACTTTAACAAAACTTTATTTGTAAATGTTGCGGAGTTTGTACTTTGCTCTCGCCTGATTATGTTTTTCGTGACTTCGAGTTGTACTTCAGGTAAAATCCTCCGACACCCCTCAACTTCAGATGCTTCGCTACGTGCCTCATCATCATCATCATCATCAATCAATTTTATTTAAAATCAAAACACGCTAGCCTCGCACAACTAAAAGCTGACTTACAGGAGGGGCGTGATATATAAAACAGTAGAATATATGGAATATTATATGAACCTGCCAACCTCCCCCCAACAACAAACTGAGAAAAATAAAGTGAAGTAAAGTAAATAAAGAGAGTTAACTATAATTAATCAACATGGTTCTAAAAGGACAGTTCCGCAATACTACGCTTAAATTGACTGAGCGAAGTCGCTCTTTTTGCGCTTGCCCTCGTGCTTTTTGCGACCACAGCGCATGAACATGACGTCATGACCTGTTGTTGGTATCGGTATTCGAAGTCGAACTTAAACTCTCTATTTTCCCGTACAACTCGAACGGTCGAAGTCACGAAAAACATAATCAGGCGAGAGCAAAGTACAAACTCCGCAACATTTACAAATAAAGTTTTGTTAAAGTATTGTTTCAGACTTTCAGTTGTACAAATTTATCTCTGGTCTTCAGTCTTGGTTAGTAAAACTACAGTTGGAGGCAGACCATGATCTATTCGCCTTCGCTTTATTAGCGATGGCATTTTAAAGCTTCCATGCACTCCAGACATGAATGTCAGCAGGAAAAATGCGACTGGCAAACGTGTTACCGCTATTATATTTGACAATCACAATCAAAGCAATGAAATATCATATTACATCATGAATGTCAGCAGGAAAAAGCGACTTGCAAACGTGTTACCGCTATTATATTTGACAATCGCAATCACAATAAAAGCAATGAGATATTATATTACATGTAAGTGCCAACAAAAAATGGCGACAATGCATACCGAAACTCTTTAATTTAGCGCAATCATGGCTATTACACATTCGCTTTAGTTTATATCCTGCGTGAAGTTTACATTAAATGCCCGTTTAAAAGTATTGAACTGTTTTTTTTCACGACTTCGTGTCCTGCAATTTTGGTGTGACGTCAAACTTTCGATTAAGCTTCATTTTCTTTTATTGCATAAATTGTAAATTGAATAAAATTTTTATTTAAATTTTTATAAAATTGTTATCGGATTGCCGGATTCCCCGATTCCCGGATTCCCCGATTCCCGGATTCCCCGATTCCCGGATTCCCCGATTCCCGGATTCCCCGATTCCCCGTTCCCTGTTTTAAAGATAGCCGAAATATGTCCGGCAGTTCACAAAATACTGGGGTGCGAAATTAGGAGACCAACATATTCCGGACCCTTCTGTTGCTGGGAAGTGAGTCCATAAACCTTTTTTGGCCAAGTTCCATGTTTATTACCAGCTCGCTGGGGCACTATGCCCTGGCGAGTATAGGTTTCGGCTCGCATTTTTCTCCGATAGTGGATCGAAGATCGATAGCCACAAAATAGAATATTAATGAGCTGCCTAGGCCTTTCGTGAGTGGCAGAGTGGCGAGTGGGCAAAATGTTTCAAACAATTTCGTTAAAATTTTCAACGAATTGTACCTGTTTTCTATGGATTTTGCATTGTGTCTTAACTCTGGACATTCTTGCTTGTTTAGTTATTGTATTTTTCCTGGTGCACGACTCTGAAAAGCCGAAATTTGGTTCAAGGTAAAAGGTTATAACTTAAACTACACAACGTAGTTTTAATAGATAACTACTTTATGAGAAGCATATTGGTGTCAAATCAATATAAAATTTATCCAACAACAGTCCCTAATAGTTAGCTGTGGAAACGTGAAAACTGTAGTGTGAAATATGATATTGTTTTGCAATGCCTAATGTGCAATAAGGATAAAAATACCACAGTTCGATTCAGCATAAGAAATTGTACTTACGGATGTCAATTGTATTACTAAATAACAGTATTCTAGTGATTTATGGCCTTTCAAAATCAAGCGAAATTGTATTGTTGACAAATCGCTCGCAGTACGTATTGTTGACAAATCACTCGCAGTACATTTCAACTGGGAAATGATCCGCCGAATAACAACATTGATCAACACTCTACGCAATTTTTAACAGACACTGTAATCGAGAATATTGATTATTAGAAGCGCCGAGATGGCTGAAATCCTGTTACGGATTCACAAAATTCTTCCAAAATATCGCATCATGGCAAGCTTCGGTTGGCCACCAATAGAAATATAATTTTATACGCACTTTTTAAAAATGTATAATTTGTCTAGCCTCCTCCGCAGGCATCTCGTATTTCACCTGGGCATTTCATCTCGTATTTCACCTGGGCATTTCATCTCGTATTTCACCTGGGCATTTCATCTCGTATTTCACCTGGGTTGCTTGGAATTCTGCGAAGGCGATTTCTGCGAAGGAGGCTATCATTTGTCTTGCTTGCAAGATTTTGCCTTCCTAAATTCAAGAACAAATTAACTGTGTTATTGACTCACATTACTACCGCATTGACAATGCCTTCCCCAGTTTATTGAGTTATTGGGTGTGTGAGGGGTTATCCAGTGATCCCCGCTAGCTCTGTGAATATAGGCCCCTTATATGAAAAGTAACCCCATGGTCATTGCTGAATGACATGTCAAACGACAACTCTACTACTGTGCATTTGCATTAATACCCCCTCCCCCTAAAATAAGAAGATAAAAATCTATTAGCCTCCCAATCTCGTACCCAGAGTATGCCCGTTCGCAGTCCCGTTCGCACCTGCGAACGGGCATACTCTGGGTACGAGATTGTTAACCTCCCTCCCTTGTTTAATCCGATAAGGCGTAGGTGATGAACGTGGTTGAAAGAAATAATTACCCCCAAGGTTGACTCTTTGGAGTGCTCGCGGGAAACGAATATTGGTTTTTGCACGTACCTTTCCTCGCGATATTTTCACTATTCTTGACGCTTAGTAACCTATACGTACTTTAATTAAGCCCGTTCTCAACTAGGCGAATTTGAATAATCCATAGGATACCTGTAATACCGAAACCAGATCCATTTATGGGATGATATAGGTGTTTTAGTTTGTTTCGAAATCATAAGCCTTGGTATTCATTAAAAAAATGTCTTCGCTCTTGTGGTGCACGTGGTTAAGCCGTCAAATGATGTTTTGTTCATGTTGCGAATATAAGCTGTATGAAAGTGCTATGTTTTTTTCTTCTATTTGATCAGTATTGTTTCGCAGAATTCACGTGAGATTTTACGGACTCAACAAGCTTGCCAACCTGACTGGTAGCATTTTTTTATAGCCAATCAGAATGGCACTTAATTTGTTTAAATCGGATTTTCGATGCAACACTCGCAGGCATATGAAAGAAACCTTTAGAGTTTTGAATTCCTTGTATAAGCTGCAACTTCCGTAGTTTTTACCGTGTAGGCTGTGTAATTACCTCTCTATATTAAAAGTTATTCTAAAAGTAAAACCACCAATGAAGATCAAAATCGATTGAATTTTGGTCTGAAGGCTATGGAGGGTTAGTGCCAAATAAAATAAATTGTGGAAATATAAATCCTACGTGAGGCACTCTCAAAGAAAAAACTAAAAGAACTTCCTATGCCTGTATCATATCGCCTCCTTATTTGTGTATATCACCCACGCGTCATTAATCACAAAAGACACATATATATAAAGCTAAGTCCGTCTGTCAACCCTCAAACAATTTGTCACGATTCACACCATATGCTTTGCAGTCGTCACGTTTCATATATTCTGATATATTCAACCTGATATCTTGTATACTCGACCTTTTTATATGCCAATTTGCTGTGAGCACATTATTACGTGGGAATGATTGGTTGTTCTCCTTGTTGGCTACAAAGCATTACGTTTTAGCACGGTTGCGGAAGTTTCTTGGTTTAGGCCCATATCAACGTTGTGTGGCTGACGATCCTTCGTTGATTAGAATTTAATGAATATCTAGTTTGCCTGGACAGATAACGGATCATCAGAAACACGTTTCACGCGCCAGTCTCAAGGTAGGTTTAACACAAGCCAGTGATACAAATATAAAATAATTGATTCAAATATAAAATGAGGTTTTATCCCGCGCATTTATTCTGGCTTTAAATCAAAATAACTAAGCCTTATCGCGCTAGAGGTACGCCTCGGGTATGTCTGCCATTGCAATTTCAGGTTTTGTTGAATGTTTATGAAGAATACGGACAATTGGCGATGCTGAAAGATCAGTGTTTCAGATAGTGACATTGGCCACGTATCAAATCGGCCCAATAAACCGTGATGTATATCACGCGTATTTCCAGTTATTTAGTCAAAATGTAAATCGACTTCAGTGGTCAGTATGAACCGATTGGTTTTCATCATCACCTTATTTGTATGTTAGCTACGTATTTTATTGATTAAAATTTCAAAATTGTACAACTTAGGCTTGGTTCGAAAAGCATGAATCAGCCGACGATTCTATAAGCAGTTAAATTTAAAGTAAACGCCGGAAAATAAAAAATCTTTAGAATCAAGATATGGACTAAAAGTAAAACATCCGATGTTGTGACAAGGTCTGGTGTTGATTCTGTAGTAGGATTTAAAAGATTTAATTCTGTAATTAGTCCTATTGAACGTTGCCGAACCTAAAAACGATTGCTCCTACATTATTACATAACTAAAATTGTATATTTCTGTGCTTTTGCTCAGGTTTAGCTCGGAAACTCGCGTCGAAAATTTAACCAATACTACATCGGGTTGATTACCTATATACTATAATTAAAAGATTCAGTTTAATTAAGGTGGCGCCAGCTTGCGATTTAATTAGCCATATTATATACACTACAACAAAATTTAAATTGGCACGAAAATGGTTTCAGAATTGAGCCGAAATTAAGTGCTTTGAGCCTTCGGTTATATAATCAGAACAGGGCAACAACAATGAAAATCGTTTCCACAGCAATTAATTTGACAAGAATGGTAATTTTTATAGATATTGGTTATTGTTTAGATATTGGTTATTGTTTAGATTACAGATTTACAAAATCAACCGTATGTCAACCACAAGTCTTCTGTTGTTGCGAGGGCAGAATCCTGGAATTATTAGGCGAGTAAAATCGTTGAACGTTCGCCAAAGTAAAACACTGAAAGAGCATTTCCAGCCATTTCCTACAATAATTTTGTTTATGATGATAATATGAGTCGCCTAATGATATATATAGGCAGATATATAGTGACATGTCCGAATTGAAATATAGTACAGATTCGTGTGGTTGATTATAATATCACCCCCAACACCTCTGCATGACTGAAGAAAAAACAATTAAACTCACAAATTTAATTGTACGTAACAATGGTATAAAGTTTGAACTGTTCCTCTGCTCTGAAAAATCTCACGTACGTATACTTACCTATCCTATCATATAGCTATTTTTGCTTTTATACTTAAAAATATACATTCCGAACTTGGAAGGGCATGCACAACACTGTATTTGGTCCCAAAAGGTCAGATTAGAGAAACGTAGCAGTAAAAATTGAAAACCCAGAAAAAATCAGAAGCAAATAGGTGGTCGTCTGCAAGAGTTCCCTGTGCTTTGGAGATACATGAGTAAGACGCAATTTATGCAGATGATGCATACCTTGTTGAATGATTATGATGGTTCATAATGTTTGAACTTCAATAAGCTAGTAAATAAATCTTCAATAATAGCTAGCAACCTTTCTATTTACTTTAGTGAACCAACTTCCCAAACAAACCACAAAAATGTATGTTTATAGACACACAAGTCATTGTCGTAACAATTATTTGGGGGTTCAGTCAATTCTCTCCTATCGCATTCCAGATAAAAGGTGGCGAATTGGAAAGATGCGAGTCCGACTGTTATCAAATATGGGGAGGAGATGTGGGATCCACTCCCAGAAGGCAGAATATTTTTGTATTTTTAAGCCTCCTGGCTTAATTTTCTGCATTTTCAAAAAACTTATAAATATGTCCAATCTATACTACAGACTGAGGTTTCAGTATAAAGACAAGGCTTGGTTATTGAGGGAATATAAAAACGCTCATTTGAAGTCAGTCTTCTCTTTTTTTTCGTATACTTTAGACAAAAGGGACTTTTACTGGAGGGCCAATATAGTTTACTGAAGGGGAGCAAGGTGGGGGGCTGGAGGGGCATTGACCCCCCAGGTCCAGTATATACTGCATGTTAAAACAGGCCCTGATGAAATATGGTTATACCTTGCAGTATATAGTCTGTACAGAAATTAGAAACGTTTTGTCAATTGAAATTCGCGGACGCTCGCCGATGGTGTTTAGTATATAAATTATAGCCTATATAGGACCGTCTGAATGAGATTATCGCGTCAACTCTATTAAATACAAAAACTGGTAGCCTGCCTCTTTCCATTCAAAAATGGATTCGTGCGCTGGGGGTCAGTTCTGCGTATGTACAGTACGTTAAGTGCTGAAAACCTGTGTAACAATTACATGCCCACGTGCATATAGGCCAATCGATGAAGTCTGACTCGTCCCCAGTCGCTTACCCAACGCGCGCTGAATCATGAATCATTGAATCATTGCACTATGAATAAGCAATGTTAGGGACTGTGGAAGAGTGAGCGATGAAGTGGTAACGCCATAATCAGTTTGCGTATTGTTATCAGTGCTTAGTGCTATCTGTGATACGGCATGCACCGCACTCTGCACTCACATTCACAATCATTCTATATTTTTTTTTTTTAATTTTGAAATGGAGAATAGCACAACAATAAATAATCGTTTCGTAGCTTTGTTGCTGATCACTGATGAGGAATCGCGATTTTATCACTATATAAGCTCCATAAGACTTAAACAAGAATGAGAGTTAGCAGTCACACATAGTGTTACGGGGGACATTTGAAGCTCTAGATTAACAAAATAAAGGTTTGGTGAGTGTTTCAACTATGTTTAAACTTAAATAAAATACATGAATGATAGTGTTGGAGAAGCATTAGGAACAGCTAACCAAGTTCGCGTGACTGACATCCTTGTTTGATCTGGGCTTAAATCTTAGTTATCAGAAAATCGCGGCGACTACTGAAACGAAAAACGATTTTTTTACATAACTAATCGCGAGTTATGGGGTTAGTTTTGATTGGATACTTCGACAACAACAATATTGCAGACTAATTTCATATCAAGCAGAAAATTAAACAGCTTGAACAATTAAAAATATTTCTGATTTAAAAAGCGTAAAACATTCCTATACTACAGTTAAGCATTTTCCATGTATATACTAACGGAAAAGTTTAAATCTTTTTAATATTAGTACAAACAGAAAACTATATTCTGTGTTTTTATTTATTCAATTATTTCATTTAATAGTAAAATTTAATTGATGAATTTAAACTTTTCCGTCGATCTCGAATGACGACAGCTAGCTTTTTGTATTGAACAAGCTTTCCTTGCCTTTGGACTGAAAAATGAAAATATATATAAGGAGAATTTCGACGTTTCGAGCGAAGGCCCTACGTTGGCGTTTCCAGTTCATTCTTCTCGATTGTCTATGTTTTATAAACACATTCGGGTATAAATAACGCATTCATGAACATGCATGTGTATTATAATGTTATACACCGCATTATACTTTTACACATGCATGGCCATGGCGATTTGTCGAGCCAAATTGCGATGAACGTTAGTGATATTTGGGAAATATCATGCATGCGTTATTGAACTGAAGTAACATTTTGCAAAAGTTGAAAATTGGCCCGACAAATGAAATTATTTTATTATAAATAATAAATAAGCTATCGACCCTTGAGGCTAAAAATTGGGGTGAACCGGACGTCAAGATTAGGGTTAAAAAATGATGTCTCGAAATTTGCATTCGTATGCCATTATGTACTCATTCCGCATGCCATTCCCACGTACGGCCATTCCGTCTTTTACACTCAGACACAATAAAGCCATTGGCATTGAAGTAGGCTGTTATTTAATCAAGTTTGTTATGGTCAACCTGATCACATCTTGATTTTACTTTATTTTCATGTGAAATAAATTTCGATTAGATATTTAATATTATTGGCCCAAATTATACATGCATGCTTGGTCTTATCTTTAATATCTTATTGTTCATAACTTCTGAGTTACCCTTGAACTTTTCCATCCTTCACTTTATTTCGTCTAATTCAGTCGATTAATAAGAAATTTATTTTTCTACCATAGGCATAGCCCGTAACTAAATACAGATAACTTGGTATGATCGGCTTGAAAATTCCTTCCCTTTTTCGTTTCAGCAACACAGTAGTGAGCTTAAAATTAAGATGCACCAAATCTGCGACGCAGAAGCGACTGAGAAACAGCCGCTAATAATGGGAGACTAGTTTTACTTTGTTTTTCTCGTGTCCCTGGCCCAACCTCGTACCCAGGATCTTTCAAAGGACAGAAGGAGAGACCCTGGGAACGAGGTTGTCCCTGGCCCTGTTTACCAACAACAATCCATAGTTTTTATCCGTGAAGTGAAACTGTGATAATAGCGGCAGTTTTTGGTCATGTCCGCGTCGTAGATTTGGTGTATTTTAAGCTCACAAATATCAATATAATGAATTCACCGCTTCGTTGCCCTTGAATTGCGTCTAGTCAGGCTGCAGCCTCCCCCGCTTGCGGAATTACGCAATATATGGCCGGCGGGCATGTGGGCGGTAGCGGGGTATGGTAGTAGGACTCTCTTTCGCAGAGGCTTTTAAAGGATCAATTTAGGAAGAATTTTGCGATTGCCCTAGAGGGAAAATATGAAAGTAACTGCTAAAATTCGGTGCATCTTTTTTTACCTTCTAGCGCAATTACGAAATTCATTCTAAACGAATATACCTTACTCTTTAGCGCTCGTTTTCGTGAGTGAGACATTAAGCTTTCTAATGTCACATACGCCAAAACGAGGCTCTACAGGGTGTTAATTTGAATGCCTGATTCCTATACTGAACCCATGAGTGTGTAAAAGTTTCTTAAACGTTTTTGGTATCGCTCAACGTACTAATAATATTTAATAATAACGCAGCGAGTAAAATAGTAAAAACTCTTTGCTCTAGCTGTATTCGTTGAACCATTTTTAATCGAACTGACGGGATTAATTTCTAAGTCGTTTTAATTTATCTACAATTTATGCAGTATGAACATGCTCGTGCGATTACAATGATTCTAACTGACTCCCAGAGGTATAATGAAGTTTGGGTGTTTATAACAAAAAGGTGATTTCTAACTTGGTTTCCATATGGTCATAAAAATAGAGTCACGATCTTTCTCAATGGCCAGTTTATAATAATTTATTGTGCGTCAAGGGCCTTCGCTCGAAACGTCGAGTTTCTGCTTATTTTTTTAAGGTAGTAATATAACCACTCAGCACAGCATTTTCACATTGGTACTACCTACACTGGTACAGACAGTTTTAGTAAATAATAATTTATACCTGTAAACCACATATAAATCATAAGTATTCTCTAGTTTCGTATCATTCTGCGTATTTTCAGTTCTAAAATGTTGTATTTCGGCTGATGAGAAAGATCGTGACTCAATTTGTACGACGTACCATATGAAAACCAGACTTATAGGTTCCCTTTTTTTGAGACACCCTGTATAGCCAAAGCGACGTGCTTTCCGGAAGGGTGTTTATTTTGCTGGCGCTCCCAAATTCCTCAACTCTATCATGTCCTCAGGTCGGGCAAACATCAGAACCGCGATGAAATCATGGTTTGTCAAAACCAAACACGTTCCGCTAAAACTCATAATTGGCGACTGTATGGCACATCGATTTGTATCGGTAGATAGGTAAACCGGTTATGAAAACGGTACACTGTGTGCACATCAAACTGTACAGTATACTTTTGGATCAGTTTTGATTCAAACGTACAGGATATTCTGACAATGCATCTTATTTAAATTGTTGAACCATGTGATCACACGGTGAATTCAGATTGGTCAGGTCAGGAATACGACACAAGTTCGTGTACCGTGCCAAAATACAAGTACACTATATCGGAAATTTCAGTACTAAACTGCTAAATATATCATACGATAATGTACATTATGCATGCACTTGGTTGGGCGCGTGAAAAGCACTGTGTCTAAGCCGATATCGAACCTGTGTCGCATAATACGACATGACTTGTCGCCTATTTTGTGCCGTGTCGAACCTGATCAAAACTTACCGAACTTAATTGATTTAGACGTCGCTCTTCTGTCGTACTTAATCGTCAGTATTGGTTCGGTGCATGAAAAGTTCGCCGTCTAAACCAGGCCTTAGGATTGATGTCATTGATCTCGGGTTTGACCGATAAGAGTCGGACAAAGAGACTTGTTTCAAGGCCCTCTCTCAAACGTGGCTCGGATGGGAAGGCAGCTCGCTACACCTTTAGCTACACCCAGACTCCTAATACTTCTAACCCCTCGAGAGACTTGAACAAGTCTAGCTCGTGGTGAATTTTATCGCTTTCTGTTCTACCTGGCTGTTCTAAAATATTTTATATTTATTTGTTAGAAAATTTGATAATGCCTATATAGACAAACAAAATAAATGTTATTAGAGAAGCTTCAAGCACGGTCCACAGTGCGGATATTACGAGTTTTTTGCACTACGTATATATACTGAATTAAATTAGCCGTAAAATAATGATAAAATATGATATAAGGACAAAACTCTTTATGTTCAGTCGTTGTGGTCGTTCTCAGTTCATGCTATTAGTTCCTTGCAGTACCTCGCAGCAAGCATGGATAATGATGAGACGTAATGATAATGACCAATCAACGAGGCACTAGCCTACGAGGAAACCGGAAGAAAATGTGACGTCGGGAACAGTAAAACGAACCGAAGAGTGAATAATTTATTTCCAATTCTACGAAATTATAGTTCCTTACACTGCAGCTTACGCAGAACCTTCTTTGGCATATGAAATCTATCATGGGAAATTCTTTTTAAATATATTGTAATGCAATAATGCAGTATCATACGGGATACGGTTATTAGGTGGGGAGATTCCGCCCATGTCGCTTTCACTTTGAACTGCGGAAACCAGTAACATTGACGCACATAAGGCCTCATTAGCATGCAAATGAACACGTTTATATATAATTCTTTCCCAGATTATTAATTTAAAATTTGCTATGTGGTTTGCTCCTAACGTGTTGACAAATGTTATTAGAGACACGTTATAACAAACCGCAAAAGACCTGTAACTATTTCTCAAAACTTACATTATTATGCAGAAATCTGATTGGCTGAATGCAGTCACGTGCTGTGAAAAGCATTAGAACACGGAAGAGCAAAGGATGCAGCATCGTTATGGCGAGTCAAGTTCCTTTAAACTCGGGCAGAACAACCGGCTTTTTGGCGAAATTACAAGACGCTATCGAGAAAGCTGTAACGCAAAAGATTCAGGTTGATAGAAAAACCATCGACAAAGCATGGAAGTTAATGGAAAAGGTGATAAAATACTGTCAACATTCGCGGATGCATTTAAAGAACAGTCCCCCATACATTTTGGATATTCTACCAGACACCTACCATACTCTTCAAGTTATCATGGGAAAATACGAAGACAAGATGCATATACTCATCGAGAATGAATACTTCAAAATATTTCTTGATAATCTTATGAGGAAGCTGAAACAGGCGATTCGGTTATTCAAAGAAGGCAAGGAACAAATGTTTATAGAGGACTCACGTTATCGGAGAGGTCTGACCAAACTGAGTTTGATTTTCAATCATATGCTTGCCGAATTGAAGGGGATATTTCCAAATGGATGTTACATTGGCGACTCATTTCGAATAACCAAATCCGATGCGGCTGAATTCTGGAGAAATTCATTTGGAACGAGGTATTTTATAACAATTAAGACTAACTTATCTATGACATAATTTCCATATTTTTTTCAACACCGTGTCTTTCATGTCATTTTAAAGGATTTAATTTCATTTGTTTTGAAATACGTGTGTATTCAGTATTCCAGTTGTCAATAGGCAAAAACTCATAGGCATATAGTTTCCTTACAGTAAGAAGTGAAGTCTAAAGCCATTATGGAAACACCTGTTGTATATAATTTGTGTGTAGAATATTTCAAACTAAAAACACCAGTCATCTGATAACAAAACACTTCAGGCTGGATCTTCTCATCTTGAAATATTATCGTGCGACTTCTAGCTAGCTTTCGAACTTATAACTAACCATTTATCTTTGTGATTTTAAACGGCAAAGGAAGTTTTATGTCGCACAATTTCTCATTATTTGTTACAAATTGTTTATAAGATGAATTTAAATGATTTTCATTATATTAGTTAATGGAAATTTGCATAGTTTGTCGTGTGTCAGTCTGGGACACTCAACAAAATAACAGCTTTGTGTGAATCACTCACTATTGTATATTTCTATCTCTTCGTATTGGAACCAAAATTATTGAATGAATCAGAATATATACAGACCCTGGGATTTGACTGGTGCTAGGATTTTAAATAAGAGGTTACAAAACCGAATGCCAAGTTTATTGTCATCCCCTGCGACAAATTCCTGTGAGGTAGTCAGACCCCAGTCCTTGGCTTAAACCCAGATCAATGAGAGTTGGCAATCACACGATCTTGGTTCGGCTGTTCTTAATAATCTTTCTCAACACTATTATTTTATTTAAGTTAAAACATAGTTGGAGCGCTCATTAAACCTTTAATTTGTTAATCTAGAACTTGAAATGCCCCCTGTAACAATTTGTGACTCTCATTCTTGTTTCTCAGGGGCTTTGCAGTTTCATTAATAGAAGTGTTCCTAAAATGTTCTTCTACTAATTAATTTGTTCACATGAACCAATTCATTTTATCAGTTATTTAAAAATGTAATAACTCCCCATGTAATTCACTTCCTGTTGAATGCACTAATCACCTTTGGTTTTGGTGATACTGACCAATCATAAAAGAGACCAGAAATGATCAAATACATGAAGTTGCAGATAATTGGTCAAAATGTCTCAAATGAATTGGTTCATGTGAGAAAGTGAATTGGTAGAATATTTTAGGAACACTTCCATCACCACCACAACTAGATATATCATTTTACAGCAGTTTGAGATACAATTACAACAATCCAACAAACATGTCCCAAACAATTTTTAACCCATTGAGCTGCAATGCGCCCTACTTATTTTTTTACTTGTCTAACACCAGACGATTTTGCTCGTCAACTGTAAATGATTTTACTTGTTTCACTAAAAATTAATGGCATTTATTTAATTCAACGTTATTACTATACATAACCCCCTGACTAGTAAAATCAATAGCAAAGTAGCACACATTAGGGCGCAATGCAACTTAATGGGTTATAACTACAGTAGACACATGGGTATATTGTCTGGTTAACCCATTGAGTGCCAGTGCTCTCCCAGGCTGGCTAGATAAAACTGCCTGGTGTCACACTACACAACAATAACGATACGATAAATTATAAACGTGATAATTGGCAAAAAAATTGTGTTAGTGTCCACATTACAACAAAAATGATAAAATTATCGTTTGACAATAATGATAACGATTTTAAAATCGCTCACCCAGGCGATTTTATTCAGTCGGGCGATAAAGATAAATTTTTGACAAATCAGCACACGTATACAAGTTATATCATTATTGCTGTGCAGTGTGACCTGGGCTTTAGACAGTAAATAACAAATATTGGCGTACCTGGAGCCGGTACGTAAGTATGCGAATTATCGCACCCACATTATTTGCTCTGCCTAATGCCAGATGATTTTACTTGTCAAGTGGAGAACACTACCACTCATTTGGGTTAATCAGACTATTTGCCCATCCACCCCCGGTAAGTGGCAATGCAGCCTGATGCACGACAATTTTACTTTGCCTAACACCAGACGATTTCACCCATCAAGGGGCTACTCATTGGGTTAATAGTAAGTTTATAATACCAGTAATAAGTTTATATTTTCCTGTTATTCTCATTATTCTTCTATCAAATTTCTTAGGTCAATTGTTCCATGGAAATTGTTTCGCCAGCATTTTCATGCTGTCCAAGAAATCTCAACTGGCTTGGAAGCCATTGCTCTAAAATCAACCATAGACTTAACATGTGATAGTCATATTTCGATCTTTGAGTTTGATGTCTTTGTGAGGTTATTTCAACCTTGGGGCAGAATTCTTAGGAACTGGAATTTATTGGCTGTAACCCATCCAGGGTATTGTGCATTCTTGACGTATGATGAAGTGAAAGCAAGGCTTGAGAAGTTTATTGACTTGCCCGGAAGGTAATTAATATATTCCAAAATGTTTCTTTCTTTCTGGATTCGGCTTAGGGTTCGGTTTTTATTAAATACCCCTGGCCTGGGCAGATCTAGCCTCATCTGCAAGGAGGGGTGCAGGTTTTCCATGGGGTGGTGCATCAGGGAATCTTACTGCCCATTCTCCTCTGCAGTCTGAGATTGCTGAATCTGCATGTTTGCCATTCTGTTATGTTTTACATTATCTTTTGTTTATTATGTATGCATGACTGGGTAGTTGCTGTAGCACAGTACAGGAAATTTGCTTGTTTGCTGTATGTTTGAAAATATGGTTGTATAACAACATCAACATGTTTACATATTTAACCATGGTATTGAACTGATAAAAGCATTCTGAGTATTTTCTTGTGAGCTCACAAATCAAATAAATTGGTTCAAAAAATCGACATGCGCTAACAGTAGGAGTTCCACTAATCACTATTCGAAAAGGCAGAAAATGTATGGTCAAGCAGATTTTTTCAAGGTGGTGCTGGACTTCTCTAGATGGTGCTAGATACCACTAGGTTGGCGTGCATACCCCCGAAACTCCACGGTAGATTCACCCCTCCTGGAAACCTCCTGAAAATGGCAAAACCTGTTATTATAGTAAATACTATTTCATCAAGCTTGATATTTGTTTCTTTGTGCTTCCTTAAGCATAAATATCAATATTTGTTCAACTGAGAAAGCTTGTCCTATAGTAAGATTGCATTGTCTAGCCAGAGAAGCCATGCCATCAAACTAAGGATATTGGATGTAGTATGTTTGTTGTCAATCGAAATTAATAATCAACCTAATTAATAATCAACCTACAATCGAAATTCTTTGCTTGAAAAGAAATATCAACAAAATTGTACATTTTCAGTACCGGGAAATTGAAATTTAGTTTAACTTCATTAAAAATAGACTAATGAACGAATGGCAACTGTGTTTGAAACTAAGTTTAATATTTTTTGCTATTTTTTGCTATTTTAGGACTAACTTTTTAAACCTACTTCAAATTTTTGAGACACCCAGTGTGCAGTGACGTTTTATGTGATTTTTTGTGTAGCTATTTATTCCGATTGAGTTGCACACGTTTGGGACAATGGGCTATTGGGTATGTCACACCTGGAAAGAACATTCTTCAAACAATTCCTCAAAACAAGTCCTTGTTCCAAGCTTTAGTTGAAGGCTACAAAGAAAAATAGTAAGTTGATCCCTTTGTTGCCTGTATTCAAGGGAAGGGTTGTTTGGTGCTACAAGTAATTGAAGAAATGAAAGAATTCTTAAGACAATATATATTAAAAGAAAACAAGACAATATATATTAAAAGAGCATTTGATATTTTGCCAGAGAATATTAAAAGATAATTTATTTATTGAACGTTCTCTGACTAAATATTTATTTCTACGAGCTTTCGGCTATCAGTCTATAGCCTTCGACGGGTAATCATAGGAACCTTAAAACCTTAGACAAGGGAAATCATAGGAACCTTAAAACCTTAGAGTCCTGGCACACTGCACTAACAGACGAAGCTGATAATAACTCTAATACGCTTCCAGCACAATACACAATACTTTTAAGAAAGGAACTCAAGAAACATTAATTAAATATTTATATTCCTCATTTGTAACATAGCATATAGATAGTCTCATATTTCATACCACGTATTTAAGTTTAGCGTCCTTTATTGAATCATTTGTATACCTCCGTCGAAGGCTATAGACTGATAGCCGAAAGCTCGTAGAAATAAATATTTAGTCAGAGAACGTTCAATAAATAAATTATGTTTCAACCTGGCTACGCATCCTCTATTTTTTCAATATTAAAAGAACTGTCTGTAATCAGCGTTAAAAAGTGTTGTGCAACTGTGTGACTTGAAATGTTACTGCACAGACAAGGTATTGTATTTGGTAAAGCTTTCATTGTCGACGAGGTTCTCTTCAGAATAATTTGCACAAACACGCTGTTAATCCCTTTATATGTTACTGAAGAATAATCTATATACCAACAATTGTCGGTGTAGTTGAATTTTCTATTCTGCGAATCTCAATCAGAAGATGGCACTTATGTGAACTTTATTTCTGCCGGTGTTGATCAGGTTGCCCAAAAATGAACCCAGTGGTATTTTATATTTACAGAAGGCCATTATCAGTGATGTATTTTTATTACTTGCATTGGAAACATGAAAATTGGTTGTCTGGAATAAAATTCAATTGCCCTGAGGGTCTAGTTTTGCCCTCACATATATTTGAGGCCAATGTTGCAGTAAGGATTGATTAATCACCATAATCTAATCTTATATTTTATTTAAGTCCCACGTTACATCACTGCTTATATATCAGTGTTTACAGTACCACAAATTCAATTGTTGTGGATTTGTGACTTTAAAAAAGAAACTTGATGTGGATTTGCTAAAACTATACTTGTGTTATCCATAGTTCTAAGGCCTCATTGTGATTTACTGATTGTACTCTGCAGTTATATTCACACATGCTTTCTTGTTTGTATTTAGCTACTTGTACCCAAATGGGCATCGCAACAATCCTGACCTAAGCCAGGACATTGTTGAAAAGGCAAATGATCATATCCAAGTGACTGAGGAACAGTACGAACTGTACTGTGAAATTGGCACCACATTCGAGCTCTGTAAGATATGTGCTGAAAACGATAAAGATATCCGCATTGAACCGTGTGGTCACTTAGTTTGCCAAAGCTGTTTAGAACATTGGCAAGAGATAGGTGGTGATGGCTGCCCATTCTGTCGACAGGAGATCAAAGATATGGAGAAAATTGTTGTTGATCCATTTGTACCTTTTTCCAAATCTGAAGAAGATCTGACAAAGTCATCCTCACTTGATTGTGATTCGGAAAAAGAAGATGTTCTGGAGGTAGGTAAAACATAGCTTGAATACTGTAGAGTCTCGAACGTACCCCTCCCCTTCCCATCTTAACTTTGGTTTTTGGCTGCTGTTGGGGACTGCTAGTTCCGGTCCCCCGAAATTTTTTAAACACCTCAAATTTGCCGCTACTTTCGGAATTAAACGGTACTGGTTCGGGGATTCTACTGTAAGATAAAGTAATCATTTTTAGTGGATTTCTTTTTAATAGAGTGTTATTGCAAGAAAAAACCGAAATACCAGAGTAGTAGTTTAACTAGAAGCACTCTTCTCACATGCGGTAACCAATGTTGTCATTCATTTCTTATGCAGGACATAAATAACTGGGTTCCGTCAATGAGTAACGAAAGAAGAGAGCGTCTTCGTGTAGAAATTCCATCCCAGCCACCTCCTTATGTCACACCAGATGAAGAAGACACTGCACCTCCTCCACTTCCTGCTCGCAAGAACCATGCCCATCTTTCAGGACATCTACAGTCACCAACATCACCAGTTCTCTTCCCAAGATCTCCACGGACATCTCCTCGACCTTCTCCCAGAAGTTCACCTATGGTTTCCCCAAATCTATCGCCTGAGAATTCCCCCCACCCTTCCCCCCGTCTCCCCAGACATCGTCATGAACCAATTGATATTCTGCCCGACAATGATGACATCCCACCAAAGTTACCTGCGAGAACAAAGAAAGCACGAAGTGAAGATCACTTGAATAGCCACTTTGATGCCGCAGCTCATCCCATGGACCCTGAGGAAGCACGTGGCCGATTTCCCTATGCAGGAATTGACCATGCTTGCAATAAACGAACAGTACCGATTGAAAATTCAGCAAAAACGACTTATGCTGACCTTGCATTCCCCAAACAAGATAAGGATATCGAAGTCAGTCGTAGGCATCCGCCTATTGGTCCACGCCTCAGTTTAAACGACAAGGAAATTGCTGATTTCAACACAACAGGACCAAACCACACTTCATTCGATGATGTCGATAATAACTTTGCTAACAATGACTTTTGTGTTCACGACGATCCATTTGAAGGTGCTAATCCATTTGTTGAAGACAAATCTCAACAGCAGAAGGGTAACAGTTTACCTAGAGATCAGTTTTTACGTCCTAGGTCTCCCCGTAGTAACTTGACTCAGACATCAAAATCTTTGGAAAACCTTACAGTCGACAGCACCAGCGAGTATTCAGAGAATGAAAATGATTATACCGTACCCACTGGTGGCAACCCTGCTATACTTCCCAGGTGTTTTAGTAATCCTACATATGTTAGTAACTTTGATTTTGTTAACTCCACAAAACCTGAGCTATCAAGCACCTTCCCCCCACGACACAACCCCTCTGGAAGTGACGGGGAACAGTCAATGGAGTTTAATGAAGAAGATTTTCAGATTTTAATGGGTCAAGGCTATACCCGAGAAGAAATTAAGAAAGCTTTAATAATCGCCGAAAATAATTTTGCAATGGCACGCAAAATACTCCGTAGCTACCACGGCACGAGACCACATCAGGAAGAATGAAGACTGATATGGAATTACCATAGTTAATAGAAAATATACATGGTTTTGAAAGGCACACAAAGGTGTTCTATGTTTTTGTCTACATTTATGGGGACTTGTGCACTTTCGCAGTGAGTGAACGAAATGCTTTTTCGTATGTTATGAACGATCGTCCAACAGCATAATGTTCAATTAAATACTATCAAACCTGGATAAATTATTTGTGCACCTTCACGTTCTATTCAACATTAAATGAAGTTTGATTGTAAAGCTTTTTGAAATTAACCAGTCTTCCTTACCATGTTTATTTTCTTTCAACTATGGGATAACTCTTGATTTCCCAAAAGCAATTTTACGCTAATGCAAGTATATTGTTATAAATTAAATATTTTTCATGTAATGAACCAAAACGTTTCAGTGGAGCCTGCTGGACATCAGGATTCATTGGTTGAAATTTTTTCCTCACAATTTTTATCATTATTTAATAACATTGACTGCTAATTGTAGAGATACGAAGTACTGTAGCTGCAGGTTATTGCTATGATTTTCTCTTCTTATAATGCATGCGTATTGTGAACCACTCTAATCAATATATTTGTGTATAGATACTTTTCATTATTAAGTAGCCATTATCGTTTGTTGTTTTTTTTTACTTAAAGCGCATTTTTCCCCAGCCAATAACTCTCCCATTGACATGTAGAATGATTGAGCTGACTCTCTATCAGCAAATAGACCTTACGCATAATGACGTCACAAGGCTTCATGCCCGCGAGTGCTGGTCTTAATAGTCATCGCCAAGGAAAATTAAACAATTCAAAATGACCACTATCGAAATTTTCCCGGGCGCCGACTACAAAGACCAGCATTCCTCGCGGGCATCAAGCCTTGTGACGTCATGCATAAGGTCTATTGCGAGTATCGTCCATTGCCACTCTCCTAGCCTCCGCAGAGTCTCTATGCCACTTTATTAGTCCGGTAATACACCCTCCAGAAAAGCACTCGGCGGTTTAGAAGTAATATTTCAAATCCGAGTTAGTGTTTTAGACGTGGTTTCTAAATACAAGTGCCATGAACAATGGCGAGGCGCAGCCGAGCCATTGTTCATGGCACTGGGGATTTGGAAGCCAAGTTTAAAACACTAACGAGGATTTGAAATTGCTTCTCACAGATCATTAGATATTCATAGCAATGAGGCAGTAACAATAGCGAATTAAGTTGTTCAATGAGGCGAATGCGTAACGAAGGAAGGAATTAAAGACGTTGTTGTTGTAGTATTTGTTCGCCTTCGAAGGAAGCATGGCATCTAGTTGCAAATAGAGGAGATTTCGAGATACTCAAAGCGTGGAAAGAAGCATTGACAACGTGCGAAATGCTATTCCACAAACAACGCGTTATAAAAATCGTTGGGGAGTTCGTATATTTGAAGATTGGCAAAGTGGGCGAGAAAATAAAGCAGTCATGTGTGAAAGCAATCCTTTCAGCTTTAGATTTGCAGAATTTGCAAAATTTGGAGACAGAATTGTGTTCAATGACGGCAAGAACGTTAAACTTCTGGCTTATCACATTTGTTCAAGAAGTTTGCGACAAGGATGGCAAGCCATATCCCGGGCGTACAGTATACCAAATTATATGCTCGTTGAAACGACATCTAGACAAAAATGGCCGGGCTGAAGCTAACATGTTAAATGCTAACAATCACTGTAGGTTGAATTCGTTCATTTTTAATTAATGGTTTAGTTTAATTTATTGTAATATCAGCATGTTTATTACTCACTTTCCAGACGTTCAGAAGAGTGCTGGATAGTGAAATGAAAGCCACCCACCGGGAAGGCGAATCGCGTACAAGACGAGAGAAAGAAGCTATTACAGATGATGAAGAAGGTTTGCTGTGGTCAAAAGGCTTACTGGGAGACAAAACTGCTCAAAGTTTGGTTTACACAATTTATTTCTATATCCACCCTCGAAGCCTATAGAAGACAAAAAGTTTCAAATTTCCGACGAGGAACTTGATAAGTTTTTGAGTGAAGTGGACTGGTCTAAAATTGATAAAGAGGTGCAGCGACTGACTATCGCAGAAAAGTTTGTTTTGTCGAACAGTACATTCACTAACTGTTCCTTTAACATTCCGTTTGCCGGAAATAAGTAATACTAAGTCAATTGTATGTGTGTTATTGTTAGTGTGATTAAAAAAGCAACATATTTTGTTGTTTGAAGTGTGTTTTAATGTTTTTGTGTACTTAGAAGTTATTTCTAAATACAGCTTACTGTATTTAGAAATAATTCTAAACATAGCAATTAAATATATTTGCATAATCTTTTGTTTACCCCTCAATTTCCCTATTGTTCAAAGCCCTTCCCACTTGAAGTAATTAAAGTCCTGGTCTAGACGGGGTATCCAGATAGATACACGTGATGTAAATTACACCATGTCATTGGCCGAAATGCTATGAATATCTAATGTGTGAGAAGGAGAATTTATATATAAGGAGAATTTCTCCTTATATATTTTCAGGTATAGTTGCACCCAGTACCAACGAAAAAGCTTGTTCATATTTTATTGGCACCAATGAGTACTTTATCTTGTTACAGGTGGCACATTTACGAAATCATACAGTTTTATTTGATAATATAAAAGACCTTTATATAATGAAGTCATGGGTGATGAGATTGGCATTAAAGCAGATATTTCAATTCTAGGCTCATAGCCACAGCTAAGCCTTTCCGGAAGGGTGTATTGATGAAAGCGTGTGGGGAGCAAGGGAAGAATTTTTTCACTCACCTGCATGCCTAATTTTTGTGGGTATATAGCCCGCGTGTTTAACTAGGTCAGTAACCTTCGCGAGTTAGACAACACGCCTCTGCGGAGGAGTCGGCCACGTGATATGGATTGTCACGGATGATGTGTGAGAATCATGGATAGTGATGACCCGCGCGGATCGTGACAGAGAGATCAAGGTGGACGTTGAGCTCAGCTGTTGGAAGTTCCAATTTGCGAGCTGTCAAACAAAGACTTGTAGAACTTATCTTCTAAAATGCGATTTCAAGCTTGCAGTTAGCAGTCTGCCGTAATCTTAACCCCTCTATTAACGGATGAAACCGATCTCAAGATCAGTAAATCATTCGCACGTTGCCATATAGTAAACTCCGAAACACGTGCGGTGGCAGACCCCCCGCCCATTAATGTGGACGATCCGACCGTGCGGATCGTGAAATGCTTCGCGGATGGTGAAACTGCTGGCAATCCGTGAAGCATTTTACATGCTGGCACCCCGTGAAGCATTTTACATGCTGGCACCCCATTTAACCCCAAATTTTTAGATATAATTGAGCGTACCATACCCACATAGCCCTGGCTTTATCATGAAAACATACAGAAATTTTAAACCCTAAATGTAAAGCCCTGGTCAAACGAGGACGGGAGTTGCAACTCTCGCTTGCGTTTGACCATCAACTGCCATGTACTTTCGCCAACTTTCAGCTGGTTCAAAGACAGTTGGTTATATCACGAGGTCTATTATGACTGCATCGAGTTTCCTAACCTTATTCTATTGTTATATCCAATCAACTCACATGCAACCTCGTACCCAGTGCTTCTGCGCTTGCCTGGGTACGAGGTTGACTCTCGTTCGATTAACACCGCTGTCAAAAGCAAAGTGCATGCGTGAATCTCCGAAAATGACTGCCAAAATAATAGCAGTACATACGAGAGAAGAAAAGTGTTCACTACTATGAGGAAACGGCTGAAGGTATAAGGTGGAGAAATTTACAACTCAGTTTTTCCTTGCACTGGGGCGCATTGCGGGTCAATGGGTTAACTAGTGTTAAGTCAAAGACGAAGTTATCTTCAAAATTACGAGTTTAAAAACTCTCGGTAAAGACAATACTATTTCGTACGTTTGACCGCGGTGTTCGACCAGGGCTTAATGAAGGCAATGGGGACGAGGTTGTTAAAGACACGTGTGTAATGATATACTCCAGGGGACCAGGGGTCGGTTGTAACTTGTACGAACCCGGTAGCGATATTTCAAGCTTTCTAAAGTTGTCAGTTGATTGGTACAACCCAGCAGAATGAAGCAGACTGAAACTGTCAAGCTGGACAGCTACAACGAATGTTTTCCATTACCGATCGGGCAAATCGGCGGTAATGGCAAACGGCTTACGAAGGCCGGATAACCTTACCACCGGATAACGATTTTTCAACCGTTGTAAAATTGCTTGAGAAGCTCCAAAAAAACACGGACAAGGACTTCACAAGTAATAAAAATAATTCTTAATTTTACCAATTAACGGACAACTTTTAAGAAAGCTTGAAAAAATCTCTATTCAGCCTTCGTACAACCGGCCTCAGTATATAACTGGAACGTTCAAGATCAGTCTAGCAGTCAATCATCCGACGCAATTAAACATTTCAAAGAAAGTTTATTTCATAATGTGTCAACTGTTCAGTTACAACTTATTTCAGTTTCTTCTTTGGTCTCAAGTCATTGCAATGGCCACATTTCTTATGAACACGAAACACTTTCCCCCTTGATAGGGATGAGCCGATGGAGCAAAATCAAATTTACTGATCCAATAAATACTGATACGCTTTACAATTTGCAGTTATTTTTCAACAGGAATTCCCCATCAGTGGAATTTGGGGCGAAACTGGAGCAAAACATAAAATTGATAACAAGAGTCAAGAGAGCACAGAAACGTTACGATAGTCAGGGATTGTTTGGAATGTGATGCGTAAACATTATCTTTTCCAAACTCACTATTGACGGGTGGTCATATGTGGTAAATAAAATACTAACCATTAGTGGTCTGCAAGACAGAGTTTCAGACACAGTTTCATGAAATTTGCCGTGATCCTAACCACAAACAGGGTCTTAGCCAGCCTACCGTCCAGCCGTCTTTTGGACGGCCATTTTCAAATTTGGACGGCCTTCTAAAAAAGACGGCTTTTGGGCGGTAAACATAAACATTGCTCACTTGCAAGCTGCCAAATCTGCCGAACCAAAGATTCCTAGGCCTAGCTGCCAAAAACCGTAGAATATAACTATATAAGATAATTAGTTGCTCTTCACTCACACTATAGCTTATCAAAGCTACAAGTATTGTATTTATAGCATGAAAGTGACAACATAATATCAATCATAAGATTAATATATTGGCAGATTTACTTAAACTGTACTACTGTAGTCAGTGTAATGAGTAGTCACATAGTCTGAATAATTGAATATATTATTAGTTTTTTGAGCGATTCTCAAGTGCGGTCACCGATTACTCCCAGCATTCGGAAATAATTACATTGAATTACTGGTGCATGAAGTGGTGCCATGGTTCCATATGGTAAAATATGGGTGTCATAAATGAAATTTCAAATTTGGACACCCAAGTTGCAAATCCTGGCTAAGACCCTGACCACAAACTACAACATCTTCTTCCTGATCTTAATGTAAACCTTAGAAATAAACGTAAATTTAGCGTTCCAACTTGTAAAACAAATATATTGAAGAATAGCTTTATTTTAATTCATACTATTGTAGAATTTTAACAACATACTATATGTCAAGTTTTTAAACAATTCAGCTTTTGACTGTAACTTTCTAAACTTATTAAAAATCTATCAACCGATCTAAGTTTAGTAGATTTAGTATCGAACTTTCCCTTAGCCTCATTTTAATAATATATTCTTTTTGTTTTAGATCGCAAATTGTAGTTTTTTTACCTTAACTCCGAAACGTCGTATTAAATTAATTGGTCATTATAAAAACAAAAAGAATATATGTAAGTTTAATATGAAATACCAACAAAAATGTGGGACATGGTATATCATATCAAATTAAGTGAATTTGACATTGGAAGAGAATCTGTTTTACACACAACTTAGTGTTTTTCTTGACAATGAATCATCACACATATAAAAATACATCACACACATATAAAAATACATCACACACATAAAAGCCAGGAATAGTATATATAATTTTATTGGACAGCCAATATATGTCAATGTGATCAGCCAATAACCAATCAGTCTGAAAGTTAAAGATTATCGGCTTTCACAGATTAATTTCTGATTATCGGCTCATCCCTACCCCTTGACAAGTTTAATCATCTGCCAAAAAAGAGATATTTTCACTTCTGGCAAAAATTATGTTAACAGTTAAATATTAAATCAATGGTTACTAATAGAAAAACATTAAATACCTTTCTGGATGTTATAATCAGAAAGAGTACGTCCATCTTCCAGCTGTTTTCCAGCAAAGATAAGACGTTGCTGATCAGGTGGAATACCTGCAAAAATCCAACACAATGTATTTAATTTATACATGAAAAATTCTCAATTCTGATCAGCTAAGTGGAAAGGCAGAGGGAAGTGAAAGGGCAGATGGCAGAGGTTGCATATTTTCAAGGGAGAATGTGCACAATTCAAGTCACTGACGCCTACGCTGCTTAACTTAAAAATGCAGTCGTACACTCAAGTTCATAATTTAATTACTAAGAAAACGACAATTAAATATCAATTGAATTAAATATCCCTAAGTAAAAACAGTCAAGACTTCAGCTAGCCTTCAACAGTCTGTGTTACTTTATTGAGGCATTCCCAAACGATGCACACAATATTTGCCATTCTCCAACTTAACCGATTATTTCTGCCTCGCTGGCTCTTTTGTTTTCTTGTTCGACAGAGGTTGTCTTTAATAGCAATGTTTCATGTTTGTTGTAGTTAGCACAGTGGCTTTTACCACAGTTTCGTCATATAAACATACACTACAGTTTCTGCAAGTCTTACTTCAAATATGGCTGGCCCTGACCATTAGCCTCTCATCTAATATAAGCTTGTCTCTCTGAGGCAAGCTTATATTAGATAAAATTACCATAATTATATTACATTAAATTAACATAATTACTAACATAATAATTATCCTAACAAGAAATACATGCATGCGGAAAAACCTCGCCTATGTTTTCTAAACATTGATTTAACATGACGTATTAGTAATTGATCAACACTGAATGCAGGCTCGCATTTACGTCAGTGTTGCCACGGCAACACAATAATTTTAATTTTTATTATACTTTGTACAACACAGCAAAAATAGTTGAAAGATTATTGCTTTTAACTATATAACAATCAATTTCCAAAATATGTACTGTAGGTACTGTATGTTGTGAGCTTTCATTTAATGTAAAATTTAACCTGAATAACTAAACTGCTTTTGCCGATAAACTGTTTTTACTTCAAATTGTTGAGTAATTTCAGTTAGGTCTTCAAATTAATTTGCTCTCCTTTACATTTTACCTTCTTCTTAAAGTAAACAGGGTAATTTTATATACAGCTTTATTGAAAAGGAAAACAGCAGTGCTTGTTTTACGCAATAAATTATTAAAGCAACAGAATTCATAAACATTAAACATTCAAAGCAAACTTCCCCTATATTTCAGGATTTTCCATAGTAATCAATTCTTCAATTTCTTCAAATCAAATCAATTTCGGGGATCACCATTCTCCTACCACAATCACAGGGGGGCCCACTATGAGTTATGATTGAAATAATATTGTATTTATTTTTAAAAACCTACTTGAATCCCTTGATAATCGATTATTTCTTCTCTCGAAGTTCTGTAAACATTTTAAACTGCTTGGAGTCATTATACTATCACTCTACATGACGTTTCACGAAGTATAGATGATCGCTGACAAGTAAGGACGCGGGCGCGGAAGGTGGCGAAAGAAGGGAGAATTAAACTAAAGGGTTGAAACATTGGCGGATCATCGTTTGATGTGTTCCATAAGTAGGTTGTTCTCCGGCAATTTCGCAGAGGGCCCCAATTCGTATCAACTGAATTGCGAACTGTTACTGACAAGAAAATTCTATTTTGTTGTTGCTATCGTCCTCCTAGTGCTGACCTGGGTTGGATGGATAAATTTAAGATCTTTCTGGATACAATCTGTGACCTCTACGAAAACGTTGTAATTGCGGGAGACTTCAATCTTCCAAACATCCCATGGAGATCGATAGAAAAAGCCGCTGGTATTAACGAACTTTCCTTCCTTGAGTTACTGGATGATCATCATCTACTTCAACTCAACAACACTCCTACACGCGGAAATAACATACTAGACCTTGTTATCACAAATGCTCCAGACCATGTCAATGTGACACAGATATTGTCTCCGGAAGAAACATCCATTTTTACTGACCATCATACTATCTCATTCGATTTCTCCGCATTTATCAAAAAACCAAGGAAGTCGGTCAGAACTGTATACGACTATACGAAAGGTGACATGGTTGGTCTTTGTGCTGCTTACGTGAAATAGACTTATCTACAACCATTTTAGAATCGTGTGATGACATTAATACCGATTGGAAGCGTTGGAAGGACACTTTTCTTTCAATCCCTAAGAAGCAATTGAAAGGTAGAAATCCGTTACCATGGATCAACGGCGAATTCTCTATCAAATTAAGAAAAAAGACTCTATTCGACGAAGATTAAAGCCACTCCTACTGCACATCTTCACGAGAAATACAAGAGAATGCGTTCTAAAGTTAAACGGTTACTTAGTGACAGCCGCGAGAATTTCTTCTCCTCGGTTAACAACAACTTTATTAACAATCCCAAGCGCTTTTGGTCTGTCCTTAAACATAAATCAAAAACTTGCAGCATCCCCGATTTCATTTCAATGCCTGCAGGATTAT